CTCCCATGTGTATAAAAGATTTATAATTTTTGTTAATGAGAGTTAAGTTGGTTTGAGTGGTTATAATGCTTGCATCATATGGTCGGCGCTTTGATCCTGATAAAAGTCAGTTGCTTTTTGATGTGCAAAACTGCACCAAACAATAATTAATAACCAAGCAATAATTAATGCACTTAAATTGATAACTAAGTTGTAGATTTTAACGAATGGTTCTAACTTTAAAACGGATGATCATAGTAAAAAAAGCTACACAATTCACACCATTTCACACTTGTCCTTCATTAATATTTGGGGTAAACCACTCCAATTGCGTCCCCCAATTACAAAATGTAAAATAATATCGGTTGCGTCCCTATTAAAAAAAGGTAAATAATATTGATTGTGTGGGGATTGCAAAGGGTAAAATAATATTGATTGCGTCCCCTTAAAAAAAGGTATAATAGTATTGATTGCGTCCCCATTACAAAAGGTAAAATAATATTGATTGTTTCCACATTGAAAAAGGTAAAATAATATTGATTGCGTCCCCATTACAAAAGGTAAATAATATTGATTGTTTTCCTATAACAAAAGGTAAATAATATTGATTGCGTCCCCATTACAAAAGGTAAAATTATATTGATTGCGTCCCCATTACAAACGGTAAAATTATATTTATTGCGTCCCCATTTCAAAACATAAATACCTAATATTGATTGCATTCCCATTACAAAAGGTAAAATAATATTACCTTTGGAAATACGGTACGTTAAATGACCCTAAGGGGACCAGACCCAGGTCAGAATTAAAAAGGTCGGTTAAAAAGGGCAATCCCTAAAGAAAAGAATTTAAAAATTAAGTACGATTCATTTGAAATTATACAACCAATAGGCCTATTCTGAAGTTGAGCATGCTTTATTTACAAAATAAACTACACTTATCTCATATTTTCTTGAGCAATGACGATAGAAAAGTCACAAATAAACCCAAAACAGGGTTAAGTGGATGCCAAGATACCTAGAAAGTGGCGTTTAAACCGAACTGCTCTCAAAACAAGGTCGGTTAAAACAAAGTGTAACATTTTACAAGCAAGGGCGGGTATTCCGTTAATCGGTTAATTTGAGGTCGGTAAAGAGGGGGTTTACTGTGGATAAGAATTTGCATTTGATGACTTTTATAAATAATATTTGACCCAAAAAATAAGTTTTAGTTCTTGTTACTCCAAATATTCATTTGTGTTTTTATTCACAGGGAATAATGTATTGTTGAAAGCAAAATACCTTGAAGACGAATCCCTACAAGAAAGAGGCGAAAGTATCAGCACACCTTCGTGTGATGAGTATGACAACATACAAGAACATGTTAGATATAACTGGGAAAGCTAAATTACCTTTCAATTTGTAAATAGACAAGTATTTTATAACTGTATATTAAGTTGATAATGTTCACTTTTTGTTTGTGTTTATGATCTCTTTTGTTTTTGAGTGCTCAATAACACAATCTTTGGTGCTAATAAAGACTCATATTTGGTTTAGACTTATTGAATTTTGTTATGTTATGTCTCTTAAGCTCTTAAAGAAAAGCTATAAAATAGAAAAATTACTAGCCACAAAAAAAGGATTGGAAGTTTGATTTACTTTACTTTAGTATAACATTTTAACAGAGTCACAACACAATTAATGGAGAAAAATGAATTTTTCTTAAATTAAAACTACAAATTTTGGTAAATTCGATTGGTAAAAATTGTCTCTGTTATTTGTGTTATGACTATAAAAAATTGTACATTTTTGTAAAGTGAATTAAATGTTTTTTAGTCATCATACACATACCTAGTTTGAAGTCAGTACCTCAAGTTGTTCCAAAGTTATGGGAAGCTATGTAAAAAATACATAAACACTTGCGGACGGAAAACGAAGCTAGATTCGGCATATGTTTATATGATTTTTTTTGTTTACCTATGGGACATGCCCACAGAGTTTTGGGAGATAGTTTCGAAACACCCTGTATAAGCAGCTGGGTAGCTGAGAGGTAATATTAATTTGATTAATTGGGTAAAATTGGCTTAAATTTTGATTTTATTGTAAATGGTTGAACGGCTAAAATAATGATTGGAATAATGCTATTACACTCCCCGATTTATTAGGAATTGTGCACACATGGGGAGCGAGCTGGTCTAGAGGTTAGAGCGTAGGAGTGGGGGTGCCTGAGGTCCCGGGTTCAAATCCTGCCAAATCCCCAATGGATTTTATCTAAGTGATAATGCTGCAACCCCTAGGTCTAGCCTGAAGTAATGTGAAAAACAATCCCGGGCTCGTGCCTAGCGTCCTAGAAAAAAAAATAGTGCACACAATTGTTTCATTAATTCTGGCCTGTGAAACCCCAATAGCTAGATTGTTTAAAACTGAGCTCAGCTGTTCATCATGTTTAAGTGGTCCTGTCTAATTAGCTGTTCTTAGTAAAAAGCTACCGGTACGCTACAACACAGACTATCTTACACAACTTTAAACTTGTTCTGAATTCACTCTGTATGCAATGAAGACATTAACATTTTGTTAGACAATAGCTGCATGCCATTACAAGGCCTTGATAGTTTTTCCAAGACAACAATTTAGTTTTGTAACAATATTAATTACCTTGTTATTGTTAACTTGCAGAAACAATTCATTCTTAGGAATGCTGATCTCAAACAAATATCTTTTTCTGATTAATCGTTATTCCATCATTAAATCGTTGTAATAACTACTAAATAGTTGGTAGCTTGATTTCATACAAGTTTTGTGTGTAAAATCCTCATTACTAATTTTCTGTCTGTTTTGCTCTTCTGTTATGTGAATCTGAGAAGGTACCAACCAGGTATCATATGAAAGCTAGAGTCATTTAAGAAACTATTGGGAGACATTTTCCATCACAATCAGTACAATATAGATTTCACGTTTTGGGACATAGAATCTGATTTCGAAATCAGGTGAGAAAATACATAAAACATAGTAACATGTTTATGTCTGTAATTTTATAGGTATTTTATCCACGGACGGGATCAGATTCCAGATCCCAAAACGTGAAATCTGTATTTTACTAATCGTAATGGAAAAAGTCCACAATAATTTTGTAAATTACGTATAATCACCATCATCAAAAACAAACCTCAAACGAAGAAGTTACAGGTATTTATGAAAGATGTGAATCTTTGCAAAGACCTTAAACCCAAAAGCTAGTCCATTTATGGATATTTGATTTATTTTTAATGTTTTGTTTTCCTTAGACAAATGAGTATGAAGAGTACCAATATAAAATATCAGTCAATACATCAAATCTAAATGAAAATCCATAGGATCCTCCAAAAAGTATTCTGTATATACAACTTTGTCTAACATCACAGATTGGTTATTACATTATTAAAACATTTGTTGTTATTACATAACCAAGTTGCTTCTTTCTCCCTTTTTCTATCTATCCTTTTGTTCAGTATATGTTTAATCTAGTCCATCTAGCAGCTAAAAGTGGCTGTGTGGTTTCATAGGCCCAAAACCGGTCACTGGTCATGTCTGACCCTGAACCTGGATGGTTATGCAAACTACAAAATGCTAGAATGTTTTGTCCAAAGATGACTGCTGGTTACATAAGCTATATAATAATCTCACTGACTGCCATGTGTTTTCTATCTTGGTACGTTTTTGGGGTCCTTAGGAGATTTCCCTTAAACAAAGGTCATAACAATATTTTATTGTTGTAAAGTTTGTTGTCATCCCAGTGTCAAGATGTTGAATTATATTGGATTTACCTTTGTTGTTGTGTTCTTGTAGTTAAGATTGGGTTTGTGTCACCCTATGCATTCCATTCCTCCACCTTTAGGGGTCTTTTCTGAGTTCATCTTCTTATCACAAACACTATAGTAAATATTTACACACACACACACACACACACACTCGATCACTATCACCAAGTCACAGTGACTTGACCCGACCACACGTGTATTTGTGTATAGATATTTAGGAAAAGGAGTATTTCCCCTTGTGAAACTCACGAATAGAGGTTACAACACTATTATTTATTCAATCATATTTTATTGACATCACTATAGGCTACATGGAGATTAAAACAAATAAAAATTTCTTTTTATTGTTAATAACATTCCATGGAGATCAATTGACAATTTGTTCTGTCTTTTTTAGCCTCATTACAATGTATGGGAGGGTTAACAATTACCTTTACAGCAAATTTGCATATCTAGAAATCTAGCATATTTATATATTAATGTTCTTGTTTTGAAAATTTATTTATTTCACTAATACAAAACTATATGCTAATGGAGTTAAATCCTCAATTCTAAATTTAATGAAGTTTAGTCAGTCAAAAGAAAGCACTGAAGAAATTTTGATTATTTTATTTTAGTTGGTACGTTGCCTACATATAAAAAGAGATTTCAATGGGCTTAAGGATGAGTTAGTTATATGACACGATATGAATGGAGGCTGAAATTAGTATAATTTGGTCATCCAATATTTAAAAGCGTGAATTGTATCCGATTTATCAAGATTGCTTGTGTAGCTTTGTGAATTAACCAAAATCAGCTGTTTATTTTATTAGGATAACTTATTGAAATCCCTAAATGAACTAGATAGCTGCGCACAGCCTCGAACCATCAAAACTTAACTCTCTTCTCAGGATTATAGGGTGACTCATCCTAAACTCATCACCATTCATACTTGGCTTATAATAACTACCTTTGTATGGTCGCCATTTCTGTTAAAAGTATTGAAGTAAAATAAGACGGTCTGTTATTACCATACAAACACTTTGTATGTTGCATAACCTTTATTATTTCTGCAATTTTTTTCAATATAACTGGAGTAATAAATCTATATATTTTCATTGTGAAACAGATTTGTATTCAGTAAGTAACCTCATTTTGATCTCATCATTTTACTGTTGTTTTTGTAAATTTCCCTCTAACTATTCCAATTTCTTGGTAGATTTCATTGGCGGTACACTATTTTGAGGAAAAAGGTATAAAATAGGCATTTGTTAGAAAACTTAATAACTTATTTATCACATTTTATGTACATAAGAAAGCATTGTTTATGGACTTGCAGTTGAATCTAGTGAATTTTTCAGCCATGATGTTTCTTGCCACCGTATCCTCCATGGCTTCCACCTCCATGTCCGTAACTGCCACCTCCATGAACTGTCAATGAAATTATAATTATCATTTGTAACCTTATTGTTGTTAAAATGTAAAAATACTTGGTACTGCCTTGTGATCCTGCTCCCCGAATGAAATTGTGTTTTAATTTTGTCTCATCATCAATACAAATGTTGGTCACACAAAACTTGCGGGTTAAGGGTTAAGACATCATTAGGGTTATCACTCATAGTTTTAACATAGTTAGACCAAAAAGCAGTACCAATTATTTTAACCTTTTTAGAATTCGTGTCAACATGATTTGGAATAAACAGCACAAAGTAAAGGTATTGTTGTTGCCTTCACCATTTTTATGTTCAAAATAACCTCGTGATAACCTATAATTTTAATTATATTAACCTGTTGTTTGAGATAAATCATAATAAACACAGCACTGTATTTTCCATACCATGTTACTATCATAAAAATTCAATCTGTTTGTTTTAAATTTCAAGCTGATCAACTATAATTTTTAATGAACTTCTGTACCATTAATTTTTATAGAGTCCGTACCAGTGGAATTTTAAGAGAAAAATCAAAAACCATTAGCGGAAAGCTGTCTAAGCTAATCAAACTGTTGTGAATATGTAAAAAATAAATTACAAATTAATCATGAACAGCTGTTTCAGTCAGCTGGGGCTGCGATGCCACTTTTATCTTGGGCCCTTTTATTAAGGATGCCACAATCAACAATATAAACACCACAACAAAGGTAGAAGTGGTTTCAACCTACCTCCATAACCTCCATGACCACCGCCATAACCTCCATGACCACCGCCATAACCTCCATGACCACCTCCATAAGCTCCACGACCACCGCCATATCCTCCATAACTTCCATGGCCACCTCCATGACTACCATGGCCACCTCCATATCCACCGCCACCTCCATGTCTGGACTCAGCTGTTTCTAGATCAGGTGCTGCCATTGTCATACAGACAGCCACCAGGACCATGAAAAGAACCTAAAAGTCAACACTTAGTGGTCAGTCTTCAACATTTCCCTGAGAAGAAAAGAATCAGCTGATAGCGCTGATACAATCAAACATTAATGGTTGATTTGAAACTATACTGCTGGGAGCTACTTTATCTAGGTTTGAAGGACATTCATTGTCATTTTAAAAACAGAAACATAGTCTGGATGCATTTTGAAAGCTCCATGGTTGCAAGATGAGTGTACACAGGACTGGAAACATATGTGTAGTTTTGTTACTTTTGAGGTCAGCTGATAATTTATACCCAGTAACATTGTATTAAAAGCGATATAACATAGCTTCCTCATTGAATACAAGGCCACAGCGTTGGTTTATTTTACAGCAAAACATTATATTGAACTAAGAGCCTTGAGGAAAAGCCAAGAACATTTCGTAAAATGTTTGTAGTTTTTTATAACACGCAGCCGGCGAGGGCGCGTTGTTTGGCCGAAACAATGCTGGCCAACAGATGTTAAATATAACGAGTTTGTAAATTACATTTATTGTAGAAATTTTCAATACAGATTGATCGTCCGTATGAAAATGTTTTTTTTTTTAAGGTAAATTAAGAATGTAGAGCGGTCGTTTAAAACTTGGATTTACAACTTAATTAGACGTAGCAAATCTAAATGATTTACAGGTAAAACAATAAATTTTATTTTTGTAATTGGTTAAGTAAAGTTTACAAATTAATAATTTTTGCTTTGTTTAGAGTATATTTAATTTCATCATTTCATAATGTTATTCATAATGTTTTATATGTTCATAATTTTTTAATTTCATCATGTTTATAATATGGTACTGAAGATTATTTAATTTTATTTATAAAGTGGATGGTTTTATTTATGTTTTAGAGGTGGTAGAGAGGACTTGCAAGTACTAATTTTGCCTATTAAATAAAGACATTTTGCATTTAATTTGTTTTATTTAGACTTATCTCAAAATATAGTTTGGTGTGAAAACTAATCTCTTGACACTTGTATAAATCATAAAACATCGGCTCTTAAGCATGAAATAATGACTGAACCTGCTAAACTATACGAAATCAGCTATGCACGTATCGATCAATCTATTTAGGATGGGGACGCCACTATGTGCGTATTTTAATTGGACAAAGGTAACCCGATGTCAAATACAGACCAATAAACTATAAAATACAGTATGATACGAACTATTATAATATTAAGCCTCATATTCTGGCCCAGCTTTAAAATAGGATTCTGTTGGTGTGCTGTTTTCAAATGCAGATTCTTTATTATTTTAAGTTTCTTTTTTGAGTCAGTATTTGGCGTTTTATTTTACAATGGTTTTTAATGACTTGAGATGACAAGATTGGGACTAAAATGTTTTACAAATAGCACCAATATTTGAGCATAGTAGGCCTACACTGTTATTATATTATTCGTGTTATCAAATATTTTAGACTGTATTTTGTAATATTATGAAAACCGTACAAATCTATTACTTTTTATGTACAATGTTTTGTTTGTTGAAACTTAACACCAAGATCAATGCTCGGTCCCCTGGTACTTAACTTATTAACTTTTTCATTTTATAATGAAAACACCCTTATACAAATGGAACAAATTTAAAAGTAAAAAAATAGGGGTTTTTAGGGATCGTTTTAATGGGGATTGCAACCTCTATCAAAAGTCCCTATCAAAAGTTAAAGTGCCCTTCAGTAAAAAATGAAGACTTAGTTGAACATTTTTTTTCTATAGTTGTTGATTTTTTGGACCAAAACACATATATAAAATTCTGAGTCTTTTGGATAGAAGAATCAATGATAGAAGAGACTAGTTTACCGACCCATGAAATTAACATTTTTTTTTATAGAAACAAACTTTGTATTTTAATATTAAATAGTGAATACAGTATGGGTAAATTGCTGAATCGAAATCGTTGTTAACTTTTTACCTTAACAAAAATTCCCAATTACGATTACAACAAAAACAAAATTTGTATTTCATCTCAAAAATCTCTTTTGAATGTTATGTTTACATACTCATTGTATTAATATAACTAGTTATACTGCTTCAAAAAGAAAATATTTGTATACACTGTATGATATATCTAGCAAAGCATAATTTAATTAAGAGATGCTACTTACAATTGCCAGTTTAGAAGTCATGTTGCAAGATTATGAACTTGTGTCTGATGAGGGAAGCATGCAGGGCTATATATTCATGGGGCTCCTCCTACAAAAAGGGGGACAAGGGGGGTTTTAGGGGGCCGGGGGACCGAGCTAGGTCAGGACTGGTTCTTCTTCTGCACGTGTGTGTCCTCAGGACATCAGGCGACTTCTCAAGGTTCTTCTGGGAATGCTCATGGCAGGAAAACGTTTAGTTGTATTTTTTACCGACTGATCTAATTTTAAAGGCATCACAGTTTCCTGATGTGTAATTTTCTTCGTTGCCAATTGGTTTTCAATAAAAGAATGCCCCTATTGTTAATTGTGTTTTTCCAAACAGAAATGGTTTGAGGAAAACTAGTCTTAATCTTTCTTCGGGTTTTGATGTTTTAAAATAAGTAAACTAAGCTATAAGATGAATATCCATTAAGTAGTATTTCCAGAATGTGTCAAATTATGATTATCGATTTTATATTGATTCTATCAATATATATCATTATCAATTGAAGTGGAGACGCCACCTAGGTGCGATTTTTAACCCAAATATGAGCAAAGGATGCGTGTAGAATGGAGTGAGATGATCTGTGTAGCTTTGTTACTGACTAAGATCAGCTGTTTCATTAGCCAGGATCATTTTTGTTTAAAGCCCAATAATCAGGGACAGCTGGGTCCAGTTTCGAAACATCAAAAATCTACTGGCTTTTCACAGGATCGAACAGGCAAACTTTTGATTGTTAGGTGAGCACTATCACCACATAGCTACACAGCAAGTGTTTTTATTTTAGAATAATAAGACTAATTATACCGATTTATGAAAATCAACTTTCCACTCACTTAGTCCATCGTAGTAGGTCTAGAAAAATTCTCGAACCGATAGAGTATGATAAAACATTATGAGTGCTGATGTGAAATGCCTACAGTTTTCTTGTTCGATCACCAACTATGCGTGACTATGTCAAACAGAAATGGCAAGACCATTAAGAATCACTTGAAAAATGAAGCAAATATTCTGATATTTCTAACGGTAATCACTGGAAGATGAGTAAACACATCGTAGTAATACAGTTTTATTACTCTAACAATATGGGGTGGACTGTGACTGTATTGCAGCAAACACGAATTATTAAGCCTATATTTTGTGCTAAGGGACTCATTTCGGGTGACAAAGAAATATAAAAGGGAAACTAAGAAGACATCATAACTTGTAGTTAAATGTTCAATATAACTAAATGATACAATCAAAATACCCCCACAGCAGCAAACCTACAGTCTAAGCAAATTTCCATTTACCCGGTTGGATTTTTGATAAACATATTTCCTTAAAATTCTCAGAATAATTTTCCATTTAAGAAACATTAATTTTTATTTATTTTCCAAAAGAATAACATAGACATTTTAAATTTACAGTTATTGGGAATTTTCTACGAAAGAATTAGGCGTACAAAAAAACTTCAATGTACTAAAATACTTGTTTTTTAATCTCTACAATTTTTAAATATTTTTAGTTTGTAGGCTAGATCTTTTTCAAAAAGTTGCTCCAAAAACATGAGATTAATACTTTATATATTTTATGAGTTTCTTCGTTCTGTGTGCTTCTACTTAATTTCAAATGAAACCATGCAATTACGTTTACAGTTTTAATTTCACTTTCGAGCAAATAAAAACTGCCTTATACATCGGATGTAGAGATTTATGATTAGGCCATCACTATTGCAACGTTTATGGAGATTGCAAATACCCACATTGCAAACACCATTTCAACATTTAGAAAAAATAATAAAAATAATAACAATCAAATCAAAACAAATACCGTATACTTATATGGCAATACAATCAGGTGATCTTTTGTTTGCAATCTGGGTGACATCAGCATATGACAGGAATAGCACACCTATGTATTTTACTTCCACCATGGGTGAAGTCCTTAAGGAAATTACATATTTCGTTACCATTCACAGAAACGCTGGATCACAAGCTTTAATGACACTTAAATTGTGAAAATCGGTTACAGTGAGTAGGCCAGCTGAAAAGGGATGTTACAGAAAAAAACCCCTGTGGAATGAAACATAAATCTTGAACTTCCCCGTAAAAAATCTGGATTGTATCTGTTTTTATCAATATTTTTTTTCCTGTTTTACTCATGCTGCATGGTATTTATTGTGTTACTATCATTCTAGTTCTCCTGTTATCGTTGCTATAATCTATTGTATTGCCATTTTGTTCAGAATGTTATTTTAAGCGAATCGTGAATCATTATCATTTATCTTGAGGTTATCTTTGTTATTATTTCTTATTCTAGAAATCTTGTTGTCTCTTTTTACTACTTATGTACTGACCAGCGTTTGTCACAAAGACATTCTGTGTTTTCCTGTAAAAATTGTTTATACATAAAAAACTCCTTTCTTGTATTAAGTATACAGGGTGATTGATATAAGTGTGCCAGCCGTTTTATTCGAAAACCATAAGAGATATAAAAAAAGTTAAATGGTAAGTGCCTTGGATTTTTTATTTAAAAAATTATAGTCAAGTCAAAAAAATTATTTTAGCCGCCATTTTTCATTGGAAAAATGGCCTCCAACTTTGATTTTTCTTATGGAACACTCTGTATTTCATGATGTATTCTGGTAGAAAATGTAATTTTAAGACGATTTTATTCTTGTAAATCTTTTCATAAACCTAACCGTTTCAAAAATAATAATGGTTTAAGTTGTGAAATTTTGAATGGTTTTCGAATAAAACAGCTGGCATGCTTGCTAAGGCCTTTATCGAAACTCTTTCTCATGCAGAAATTTCAAAACTTTAACCATTATTATCTTTGAAACGGTTAGGTTTTTTGATATAGTGGGATATTTATTAGTTGGGATTATTTTCTTCGACAAAATCAGCAGACACAATTTTATATCCATAGAGATGAACAGCTGATATGCTCAAATCCAGCTCATAATTTTGTCACATGAAGAAAAAGAACTACTTTCGCCTTGCAATGCATAAAAACAGCCATTTTTGTGAAATTGAGACGAAAACTAAAGTTTTATTACTCTGAGCAGCCTGAAGATAGCAGCAATTTATTTTCAAACTAGAATCGTGAAAAGGTGGCCAATTAAAATAAGTGTAAAATTTAAATGAGTATTTCCCACCTTTTTCACATTTCTTAAAACAATTAACTTGACTTTGGTGGTTTGCTGCAGAACTGTCTTGCTAATTAAGTTTTGTGTACAATCCTAGATATTTTCAAACATAATAACACCCGCATCAAATATCTTCCTCTAACCATCTCAGCTTGACTCAAGGACCAGACCAACGTTTAGACCTGACCGAAGCAGACTCCTTTGTTATTATCCCTAGCAACTTTTTGTTTTGCTGCCTGAAGCCATAGACCTGCACAGCCAGAAATCTTCCTCGAACTCACTCGTGTTGTTCAAAATTGGAATTGTTTACATTGGTCGGTGCAAGGTCAGACTTAAAAAACATGTTGATTTCCTGACATAAGAAAATTGAGTGTTTACGTCAGGATTGTTTTCACTGTTAAACCAATTAGGCGCGCCTCGTATCAGTAGCCGAATAATATATGCTGAACAATTTTAATTTAAAGTAATTTTACGAAGTTGTGTAAAGTTTTATAATGTTTTTTTTTTTTACAATTTGTTCATTTATGTAAGATCCTGAGAGTGTGTAGCTTTTTGGTTCGAAACTGGACCCAGCTGTCCTTGATCATTGGGCTTTTAATAGGTTTTGACTAATGAAACAGCTGGACTTGGTCAGTAACAAAGCTACACAAGGCATCTTACTCCATTTTAAACTCATTCTTCCCTCTAGGTCGCATCCCAATCTCAAATGAAAATGAAAATAATGTCAAACCGCACACTTATACAAACTTTTTTGTTATTTTAATTTTGAGTTATCCTTTCGACGAATCTAAGAACGCAGTCATATATATATATACAGGGTGTCCCGGAACTCTCTACCAATATTTTAGGGCATTGATCCTGGGTAAGAAACGTACCTAAATATCACATTTTTAAATTGTCCGGAAGTCCTTAGTTACTCACACAGCCGCCATTTTGTTTTTTTTTCAGTTATTAATTTTTTTCTAAAGAATGGTTGAACATACGAAATGGAAACTTTGCACAAACATTTATGACAACTAGACAACGCTACAAAAAAATTATGAAGATTTTTCAAATTCATAAAACAAAATGGCAGCCATATAAAATTTTCTTTCTTAAATTACTCAAAAACCATTGATTTTACAAAAATTTTAAATTGCCGCCATTTTGTTTTATGAATTTGAAATATCGTGATAATTTTTTGGTAGCTTTGTCTAGTTGTCATAAATGTTTTTGCAAAGTTTCAATTTCGTATGTTTAACCATTCTCTAGAAAAAAATTAATAACTGAAAAAAACAAAATGGCGGCTGTGTGAGTAACTAAGGACTTCCGGACAGTTTAAATATGATATTAAGTTATGTTTTTTACCCAAGAGCAATGCCCTAAAATATTGGTAGAGAGTTCCGAGACACCCTGTATATGTTTACCAATTTGTTACATAATATTAGAGGCGTTCAGACGCTTGGTCTTCTTAACAAAGGTGTTTATTTTAAAAGTGTTAATAAACCAATAAATTTTCCGTTAACGTAAATGTTAAATGCAAAATTAACAACAACAAAATTAAAAAATTAAAAAAATTAAATTACAATGTAACAAAATCTGTTTAAAGAAACAACAATTCATTTAATTTCATTCTATGTACCTCGCATAGATTATTCGCTGCAAGGTCCCATAAGCAGAAATATTGTAAACTGGAAAATAAGAAAACCCAATGTAAACATATTAAAACTGTATCTTTCTTCATCGTCAAACCTATTTGAGCCATAACGCTAGTTTTCCCATTTTGAATCAACCACATTTATTATGTCCATAGATACTACATGGAATGTTGGATAACCGAAGGAAAGTTGTCCACTACTGAACACAAATGTTAGTTAGTTTCGTGAAGTTTTAGTCCAGAGAGCCGAAGCCACACCGGAATGGTGCTGTTCTAGGATCTTGTCCCTTGTCCTCTTTAGCCTGTCACAAATGTTTATAACACCAAATAACATACAGTGTTCTACCTGGTTGTATAACATCCCACCAGCCTCGAGCAGGTCGTCATGGAACCACTTAGCTTTGTGATTCACTCTTGCGTCATCGCTGTCTAAACCTGAAACTGACCTTGAACTTTCATCGTTGACCACTCCGTGCTTTGTTTACAATTAATTGGCTCTAAATGCCTTGAACGCTTCCTCAAAACAGCCATAAGGATTGATTATACATTTACTGTAACCTTGAAAATGATTTACACGACAATGTTTGTTGCGTTTATAACAAATGTAATAGAAGTTTGATTATTTCACTTTGTAACTAGTATGCAAATTGTTTAAATTGTGAATTCACGTTTGTTCGTAAGGGCCATTGGCCACGCACTTAGCTAAAGATTTTCTTTCCAAATTATAGTTGTATTTAGTGTATCAATAGTTTTAAAGAAGTCGAACTGAACCACGGCCAGTGGAAAAGTGTGCTGATTTCTGCCAACCTCTCATAACATTTGAAATTCCAGACGTGCACAGGTCAAAAATGAGTTTTTTAACCCTGAGGAATCGGGTCGTAGTTCAGGTCCAGCGAAACTTCGGCCATGATAACCTTAGACGAGTTTATGTTGTTGTGTGAATGCAAGTGCGTTAGTCTTCATACTTGACGAGTCACACAGGTATATGAGTGAAACTCGCAAAATATTTACCAGTTTGAAAATATCCTCCTGAATGAGCTAGGCCAAAGATAATTAACACAGTTAACTTTTCAGCTAGAGTCACATTCTCTGCGCCGTTATCCAATTTTGTTATGAAATACGAGTGTAGCAACTAGTTAATGCAATTAAAACTTTTTTAGGCTGTAACTATAGGAACACTTGGTATAAAATACAAGCTAAGCCATATCGAGTAACACAGATCAGTCAAACATTTATTAATCATTAAAGTAATGTCAAGTCAGGGGTTTTCGTAGCCTATCCACATTGTTGTCCATGGCATCCTCCACCACCACCATGGTGTCCTCCACCACCATGGTGTCCTCCACCACCGTGGTGTCCACCTCCACCGTAGCCCCCACCACCACCTCCACGTTGTGGTTCAGGCTCCGGAGCGGCTTGTATAGATGCTACGAGAGCTACGAACAGCAGACAGACCTGCAGTGAAGAGGAGTATGAGTATTATCTTTGACTGATAGAAATAGTCTACACTACATGCATTCATTAAAAAACTAACAGAAATAGTAAACTATATCACTAGGGCGTAAAGTGACTCTTTTCAACCCAAGCTCAAGTTCATGAAGGAGGTGAAGCCGAGATCAGAAAATGAGCGAGGGTCGAAAGACACTTTTGTCCGTGTGATGAACAATATTTGTCACCATATTGCAACATTATTTAACAAACAAAGATAGAAATCGAAAATACCTTTTCCTACAGTTATCTTACAAAGCGGACTTTCTTGTACTGATTATAGCACGCAAAGTGGTTTATTGCTGCATTTACTTACTTTTACGTACTCATTTTTTACCGCTCTCCAGTACTCCAACCAACCAATACAAAACAGTGTGCTTTTATTAGGCACGTAATGCGTGTACGCTTGAAAATAAGTTAAAGATACTACGACTACCGAAGATTACACAATAACTTATGCTATGCAAAATTTTGCGTAGCATGTGTAATCTTTGATTTAACGCCTGGATTTAACCTAACCTAAAACGTTTTGTTTAGTGCTTAAAAGATTTATTAATTCCAATGCTAATTTGCATTAGTATATATAGTAGTAACTCTGGGGAAAATATAACGTTTAACACTAGCGCAAAGTGCTACTCCAAAAACTAGTTACACAAATAACTACTGTATTCATGTAAATTAACCTCTGGTTAAGAAAAAAAAACTGCAAAGAACCATGAAAAGACCAAGCCAATGTTGATTGCTTGAAACTCCATAGTAAAACTAACAAAAATCTAACTTTTCCTACAGTCACCCGACAAAGTTGGCTTCCTTGTACTGTTTATAGTATAGAAAGCTGCTAATTGCTGCATATTTATACTTTGCCGTACGGTTTATACTTTGCCGTACGGTTTATACTTTGCCGTACGGTTTATACTTTGCCGTACGGTTTATACTTTGCCGCACATCAGGATTCCAACGAAACAACACAAAATAGCGTGGTTCTATTATGCACGTAATCCGTGTACGCTTGGAAATAGGTTGGCAACACTTAAAGATAATAATACTATGAACAGCTGATTGACTATTATAACTACGATTTACCTGTCATTTCGTGTTTATAGTTTCGGTATTTCTGAACTTTCTGGGGTTTTCTTTTAAACGTTTTTAAAACATTCCTACAATCTTAATAAACAAGAAAATACCTTTAAAGCAATTTTTTAGGCGCGGAAACCACTTCAAATTACAAAAACATACGGAACTATATTCTCAAAACGCGGAGCACATTTCTTGCCGAGGAAAAATAGCGGAGTGATACGGACCGCGGGTACTACTTTCTCTAGGCCACCATTTGTGTTGCCAGCTGAACCTAAAAACGTGTTGTATAGTGTTTGAAAGACTAATTATTTATATGCTTTATAGTGACTGTAGGAAAAATATAATGTGTAACACGAGTGAAAAAGGCCTTTGCTGCACTCGAGATCATTCCGCACGAGCCGCAGGCGAGTAAACATTGCTCTCGTGTGCAGCAAAGTGCCACTTTCACCACTAGTTACACAAATAACTATATAAATCAACTGTTACGATAAATACATTTTACTACGGAGCAAGAAAAATAATGACAGATTTTCGGTTTTTACTTGAGTGGGTGATTTTCATGCGCAAATATCTTAACTTAACAGTTAGATGCTGACATAACATTTTTAGTTTCATAGTTTTACAACATAATTAAATGAATATACACTCAAAATGTTAACTCAAGCCTGTAGGTTTGTTTAGAGAGGGATATTTAGATAATTTACTCCCCAAATAGTTTAATAAAATATTTTCTAGCTGATGATTCCTAAACCCACATTCTTGAACCATTAAGCAAGAAATTAAAACATTATTATCTTAGCATTTTTAGATAAATATAATTTAAACAGGAAACAGTTTTCCTTAAATATGTAATTGCCTTATTTATTTGCTAGCCATAATCGTTATGAATATTGCTGGAAGTCTCAAAAGTTCAATTACATTGTGGAATGTATTTTTACTATGAGACTTGTCTAACATTTTATGAAAGTATGACTCATGCTTTAGCTATTTTCAGTATGTAACCTATCGAATTATTATTCATAGTTTTAAAGAACAAGGTAAGAATACCTTACACATAAAACTAAAGAAAAAAATACATAATTCTGTCCCTATTTTTAGTCTGATTTAGAAATCATATGAATTCACAAAAAAACCACAAACTTTAAATAATTTAGATTAGGTCAAGTCAAATTAAATTATTTGTACAAAATTATGTTTAAGGTATTCCTAAATAAAACACAGGTCGCTTGTGTGTGTGACCTTATTGTCGAAATGTGCATTAGTAAAATCCAATGATTTAGGGTACTATGTTATTTATTATTTCTTTAATTATTGAAACAAGTTTTCCTACATTGATTTGTAGAGAACAGAACCTACAAATCAATATCGAAATATATTTACAATGTTTTAATATACACTTCAAATAACTTGCACAAACTCAATAAGGCATTTGTTACACTAACACAGTAATCAAACAAATAAAAACTTAATTTGAAAGTATATTTATATAACTTACCAAGAACAGTTTCCTCAACATATTGACCGTGTTTGATGACAATCCTGCGTTCTACTGCTTATATTAGGCTATTGTTGGTGTTTTCTCCTCTAAAACCCTATTAGGAATACCATAACAAAATAAGGAAACTTTACTTAATATTTACAGCAAAATTCCCAACGGTCAATTAGGAGGAAACTTACAGAGCTTATGCAAAGAGTTTATAAGAGTTAATACCCTTGCTGCAGCAAACCTGCAGACTAAGCAAATTTCCATATACCTGGCTGGATTTTAACAAAAATATTCCCTTAAAACTGTCAGATTTATTTCCTATTGAAATAAAATTAATTTTAAGAGTGCTTAAGTTTGCTGCTTCAGGGAAGGTAAATAGGTGGGGTTTTTTAAAATGTCAATAGCTTAGTATTAAATAAAGAAATTTGCCAAATTCAATCAAATTATATCCATACATAAGCAAACTACGACCGTTTTCTTTTTACCCATATGAGTAACATGGGAATTTTATTTTACACTTTCTTGGAAATTTCACCGTAACCACCAGACATACAATATTGCTGAAATAAAATCAATATTTGTTTTTCAGCTCTAAAAAATGGTTTAGAAATAAAATGCAAAGTTTTTATGTTTTTAGTGTCCAAATTGGGGTGAAAATCGTTACCCAATATAACTCTGTTTCTATAGTCCGATCACGTTGGTTTACGAGATCGTTCTAACAAACGTAGGCTTACACGTTTGTACCAAATTAAATCAAAATCATATGTTTGCTCAATATCACCATCGACAACAAGAATTAAATATAGACCGTCAGCTGTGCTGCGGTTACCATAGGTTCTGGCGCACACAGCTGGGAGCGCCATATAGTTAAGGCCTACGAGCTACGTAACTACACGACGCTCCCAGCGGTGTGCGCCAGAAACTAAGGTAACCATGGAAATAATTGCACGGGTGGCAGTCTTTATTTAATTATTTTTTTCTATGATATCACGCTAATGGACACACTCATATATACATGAATTTGTACGAATGCCTCAGGGGATCTCAAAATGAAAAAGTAAATCTGTCCCGGGAACATGTCTTACTATGAGACCTACGGTAATAGCTTATTCCATATAATGGAAAATTCGCCAAAAATAAATATTGTAAATATTTATCAATTTTTCTTAAGATTTTGTTTTACATTACACTTTTATGTTGTTAACTTGTCAACAGGAGTAAAGATCACCATGGACGATTCACAAGAAATGCTAACAATTTCTATCAAGGGTAGTTGAATGGAACAAAACGTTAAAAAAGAACTAAAAACAAAATCCAAAAAAGAACCCAAACTTTTTTGTGGTTTCAAAACTCTCACGGATGCGAAAATAGTTAACTATTAGGTAAACTTACCAGACCCTGTACTACTTTACTAAAACAGAAAATACAAAATCAGCGAGAAATGAAAATCTCAGACGATTATAAAAAAGCCAAACAGGAACACCCTCAATCAAAATCTCAACATACCCAGACCCTGATACAACGGTTATCTATATTTTAAAACCAGCCAACCCACTCAATCTTAGTCTTAGACAGCTTGGAACCGTATTGGTCTCATTTGGTCCGAACTCCCATTACATACATAGTACATCGTACATAGTACATGGTACAGACATATATACAGTATAGTAACCCTAAGGCCCGGCCCTACGTAAGCGACAGCATCGACGCCAGTGGAACGCTGGAATCGCGTTGCAGATTGTTGTGTCCATGGTCCAACGTGGCTTGGTGTTGAGAGCGACAAGGGCAACAATTTATATTTGATAAATCAGTCTCATTATTTTTTAATAGCGCTGCTGTCGCTGTAAACGCTAGCACAGCCTCGTACAAGATGAAAATAACACAAGTAAAAAATGAGCATTTTTAACCCTAAAGAATCGGAACGTAATTCAGTTAGCAGGAATCATCAGTCTTGATATCTTGGACGATTTTGTATTGTTGTGTGAATGCAAGTGTATTTATCTTCATACCTGACGAGTCACAGTTAGCCATACACCACACAAAAATATGAGTGAAGCTCGCAAAATATTTTCCCTACTCGAAAAAGCGGGCTTTTTGCACTGATTATAATTGCTTTTTGCACTTATTATATTGCAAAGTAGCTAATTCCTGCGTTTACTTACTTTTCCGCACTCATAATACTTTGCCGCACTCCAGTATTTTAACCATATAACACAAAATGTTGTGCTTAAGTAGTACGGGTGTACTTGAAAACAATTTGGAAACACTGCTAAATTGATCAGCTTTTGCAGTGTAAAGATGTAACCCATTCTATTTGTTTATTGACACAACAAATTAAAACCTATAAACCTGTTGCGTTAACTTAAACATTAAAAACCAACAATTATATTCAGTTTCCGTTTCATTATAATGGTGAAATTTCATTCAGATTTGTATTTGATAATATGTAAAACAATTTAATTTAGGTTTTGATTTGTTTGTGAGAAAATTTCATTGAGGTTTTAACATTTGTGAAACTGCATAGTAAATGTTAACCTGTATATACATACGGTTTCCTATTATTTATGCTTTATAGTACCTTTAGGAAAAATACTATGTATAACCATAGACCAACACAAGTAGACATATCATCCCATTTTAAATTTTGAAGCTTGTTTTCCGTGTCTAGTTCATGTGCGGTGACACTGACAGCAAGTGTTGACGAAATGTTGATTCTTTTATTTTAGGATTAATTTCATGATTGCTTTATTGTTTGATTTTATAAGTAGGAGACGATTTTTTTTATGATTAGATAGTTTTATATGGTTAAGAGAGGTTTTAAATTGAAATTACAAGAGACAAATTGTAAAACACGACCTCTACAGTGAACCGGACAGAACTAACAATAAAACTGGCTTCAGCTGTTTCATAAGGATGAGAAATCTGGGAGTATGCTTTATCTATAGTATAACCATACCAATCACATTATCCTCACAGGTGATTGAGCTACACAAAGATAAATTCAATTTTCTTACAGTCACCTCACAAAGTGGCTTCCTTGCACTGATATAGCTCGAAAAGTAGGTAATTGCTGTATTTACTTACTTTTGCCACACTAATTTTCTTTTGCCACACTAATTTCTTTTGCATTATTAATTTCTTTTGCCACAATCCAGTATTTCATCCAAACAACACATACAGTGTGCTTTAATCAGACACGTAATACGTGTACGCATAAAAATGAGCTGGCAACGCTTAAAGATATTACGACTACGATCAGCTGGTACAGCGATTCCCATTTCGTTTAACGCTTGGATTTTACCTAACCTAATACGTGTTGTATAGGGTTTAAAAGACTAATTATTAATATGATTTATAGTAACTGTAGGAAAAATATAATGCATAACGCGAGTGCAAAGTGTCTTTGCTGCACTCGAGAAACTTTCCACACTCGCCTGTGGATCGTGCGTAAACATTTCTCTCATATGCAGCAAAGTTCCACTTTGCACATTAGTTACACAAATATCTATTTCAAACAGTCACATTCTCTTCAGTTCCTTTATCCAATTATATTGTGAAATACTAGTGTAGGAACTAGTTTTAAATACAATTAAAACTTTCTTAACTATAGGTAAATTTGGTAAAAACACAAGCAAAGCTATATCACGCAACACAGATTATTAAAACTTTATTTGTTTACATTACAGGAGGGTCAAGTCAGGTGATTTATCTAGTCTATCCGCATTGACCTCCATGGCATCCGCCACCACCACCATGGTGTCCTCCACCGCCGTGGTGTCCTCCACCACCATGGTGTCCACCACCTCCACCTCCACGTTGTGGTACAGGCTCCGGAGCTGCTTGTATAGAGGCTATGAGAGCCACGAACAGTAGACAGACCTGCAGTGAAGAGGAGTATGAGCATTACTTCCCTGATAACAATTAATTAGTCTACCTTACATAAATTCGTAAAAAACTAAAAAATATTATATTACACCTCTAGGGCGTAAAGTTTATTTTCCCCGTGTGATGAACAATTTTTCCCTATCCCTGCATAGAAATGACCACATTACCGTACATGTAAACAGTACGCAAAATAGGTCGTAGCCGCTCTAGAGCGGGAATTGTCAATTCCCGCCCGATAAATCAGCTGATTCCACCGTTGGCGTTTCTAATCCAACCAAAACCGCGGATTCGGTACGTTAGTTAATAACCGGTAAGCAAGTAACATAATCATGAGGAAAAGCAAACATAATCTAAATTACATTTTATGTAGGCTTACATAATCTAAGTTAGAAAACGAAAACACTTTTCAATTAAAGATAACCTCTGGGTAATACACAGAAACTGTAAAGAAAGATGCAACAACTAAGCCAATGCCTTTGAAACTACATAAAAACAAGGAGTAAAGCAACTGACACGATAGATCCATTTTACTACGGAGCAAGAAAAATAACGAAAGTTTTTCCCTTGTTTTTACTTGAAAGGGCCATTTTCACTCGCAAATATCTTAAAAGTTGGATGCTGACTTTAAAGTTTTAGTTTCCATAGTTTGACAACATAATGAACTGAAAATAAACTCAAAATGGTTATACAAGTCTGTAGGGTTGTTTAGGGAGGGATATTTAGATATTTACTCCCCAAATTGTTAATTAAAATGTTTTCTAGCCTTATTTATTTGCTAGACATAATCTTTATAAAAATATTCGAGTTCAATTGCACTGTGAAATGTAATTCTACTGAGTCTTGTCTGAAACTTGAAAAGTAAAACCCAGGCTTTGGCTATTTATTTCCAATATTTTATGGGAATCATTATTCATAGTTTTGGTGAAAATGGATAAAGACTCAAGAAAAAACCTAACATATAAAACTAAATAAAATACAAATTGCTTTCCCTATTTTTAGCCCGTACTCATATGAATTACTAAACACAAAAGTTAGAATTTAGGTTAAATTCAAGTAACTTTAGATCAGGTCATGTCCAATGAAATGTATTGTGTAAATTTTAGTTTGTATTCCTAATCACGAAAGATTTATTGATAGAAATAAACACATCTGACACAAATGACTAGGTCCTGTATAAAATTAAGTTTTAAAATTGTAAGCGTTTTAAAGAAAAACTACGTTTGGTAACGCTTTCACAAGAATTATATATTAATGTGGAGTTTAACTATACTGTAACCATGACCTTAGTGTTGAAATGCACATTTCTTATATAATAATTCAGCTTTAAAAATCTTTGAACAACTTAATCTTCAGTTCTAGTGAACCGATTTGATAAATTAACGGGTCGTTTGAAAGCATAATTTGCTTAGATTTGCAAATAAATATGAAACTGTTTTTGTTTTGATTTATGGTGAAAAAAGTTTGTTTCCCATAAGAAATACATTGAAAACGGAAGTTTTCATGTTTTTTATTTGGTTGCAACTTTAGGCTGCCTTTATTGACTTTTTTTAAGAAACACGTAGTATTAATTTGCGGGAAATCTTATTCTATTTTAGAATACCACCTTCCCACTTTGGCCAATTTCCTGTTTATTTAAAAGCTTTTAACATATTTATAGTTTTTAGAAAGTACTGAATAGGAGATGGTTTTACTATGTAAAATTACCTTCACAGTTTTTTTGGTCCGACTTTATTATTTAAAGGGCAATGGAAATCTTCATCAATTAGGATTTGCAGATAATAATAAAAGTTGAATTTTCCTAAAGGTTTATGGCTTTTTTCGGTATGCATATTTCAATAATATGAAACATGTGAATGTTTCTGCATTGACTTTTATTGTTTACTTGTTGTTGTGCAGAATTTATTGTATTTAAAGTCTGTTTCTTAAGTTATGTGCTTTATCTGTACCATTAATATAAGTAAGTAAAGTGGTGTTTAATTTTCTAGAGACCATTGTATTTAACAACAACAGGCTATGTTGCTAGTCAGTAAAATAACACGATTGTTGGGGTACTTTATTATTGTCTTTGATTTTTGGAAAAGTATCCATAAATTGTGAAATTATAAACCATAATCGAAATATATTTACATTGTTTTAATATACACTTCATATAACTTGCATAAACTCAACTAGGCATTTACTACCAAATAATCAAACAAATAAAACTTAATTTGAAAGTATATTTATAAAACTTACCAAGAACAGTTTCCTCAACATATTGACCGTGTTTGACGACAACCCTGCGTTCAACTGCTTATATTAGGCTATTGTTGGTGTTTTCTCCTCTAAAACCCTATTAGCAATAACATAACAAAATAAGGAAACCTTTCCTAATATTTACAGCAAATTTCCCAATGGTCAGTAGTAACTAAATCAACGTAAAGATAGAAGTAAAAGTTTGTAAGAAGAAAATTTCTCCAAACAGACCGGCATTCGAATTTAGACGACTCGTTCTGTTGTTACATTATTGGTATTTGGTAAGTGACGGATAGTGACACTCGGAGGAAAATGTGTAAAATGTCATATAAAATGTGATTATCATGAAAAAAATCCTTTACAAGTTGACGACTAAACTAAATAAATTATAACCAATTCAAAGATTTTGTGAAACGAGTTAACAACAGTACCCTTAATTCACCTGTAGCCATCACTACCTAAAATTAAAATAACCCTGTAGTAGCAAACCTGTAAACTAAGCAAACTTCCAGTTTTCTGTTTAGATTTTCGCTGAAATATACTTATAACATTAGGTTTAACAAGTACCTAGGTTTGCTGCTACAGTGAGGATAATAAAGTATGTGTATAGTAAAGTATAATAGCTGGTGATGATATAAAATATAACTTCCACCTCCAACTAAACGGTTATTTAAGCTCAAAATATTTGTTCGACAAACCAAGCGAATTTCCTGTATACGTATTATATCCCTAAATGCGCAATTTAAACACCAAGATCTCATCAAAAAATGTATCAAGTTGTATGTGTCCTTATTGATTAGCTTGTAATCTATCGAATCGCCATATAACCTGGAATGGTTATTTAGGTTATAACCCGATCAAATAGATTATTCTAACTAAAAACGGCTGTGTTCTTCTAAAATTAACATTCCACAGTAAGTAATACAACACGGCCACTAATAAACACAGCTCAATTCAAACCATTGCATATTTGTTTAATTATTTAGATAATAAACGAAGACATCTCTTGACAAAGGAGACATATCCATAACACACACACTGCAATCAAAGAAGACAAGTTCAAAGAAAGTGCACACCTTAACAGCTTCTAATTTTAAAATACCCACACTGCAGCAAACCTGCTGACTAAGTGAATTTCCATTTGTCTTATTGAAATTACACTAAAATATCTCCTTATGTCATATTTATTCCGTATTTAAATAACATAAGTTTAACGAGTACCTAGTTTTGCTGCTAAAAAGAAGGTATCTAATAATTTGTTTTATAGTTAAATGTTAATAGCATAGTATAAACAATAAAATGTTCTAAATTTAAACAAAATATATTTGTAAACAAGCAAACGACTAAACTTTATTAACTACACTTTACTAAATCTCCATAAGAATAAAAAGGGAATTTTGAATTTACAGATTAAAACAAATTTTCTCCTCAACAATATAAGTGCATGACAACGCTTCAATATTAGAAATTATTTGTTTTTTAACTCTACAAAACAATGTAGAAATACATTTAATGTTTAAGGGTCAAAAGTGGGTCAACCCAATTTTACCGGACACATATATAAAGAAATATTTAAATATATATTTATGTATTTATATAAATATGTCAATAAATAAATAAATAAATAAATAAATAAATAAATAAATAAATATATATATATATATATATATGCGCCAATAACCTTGTTCTTGCAGCTGATTGAACCAGAACAAAGATAATAAACACAATTTCCTTATTAAAGGGTAAAATTTTCTTCGTGTCGTTATCCAATTTTGTTTCAAAACATAGGTGATTAAATTAGTTTTCCATGAAATTAAAATTTCTTAAGCTGTAATTATAGAGAAACTTGGTCAAAAGTACAAAGCAAAGCCACATCGAGCAACACAGATTAGTAAAACTTTATTTGTTTACATTACAGTAATATCAAGTCAGGGAGTTTTCCTAGCCTATCCACAATGACGTCCATGGCAACCTCCACCACCACCATGGTGTCCTCCACCACCGTGGTGTCCACCTCCATAGCCTCCACCTCCGTAGCCCCCACCACCACCTCCACGTTGTGGTTCAGGCTCCGGAGTTGCTTGTATAGAGGCTACCAGAGCCACGAACAGCAGACAGACCTGCAGTGAAGAAGTATAAGTATTATCTTTGACTGACATAAGTAGTCGTACACTACATGCATTTATTGAAAAACAATCTTAAAAATGTATAACAATCCTTCCATTAATAACTGAGTGGTTATAGTGCTCTTCTGGTAATTAAAAGGTTGCCGGTGTGGTCCTAAGAGAAGTTAGTAGCTTTTTGATAGCTCAAAAACAGACCCAGCTGACCTAGATTATTTGCCATTGTTGATTCTATTGTAACTACTATATACTACATATTGTAGTATATATGGCAATGACCTATTCCCTATAAACTGTGTAATGGGAATCTGTATTCATATTGTTGGAGAACAAGGTTTGGACACTCAAGGAAACCTAACACATCGAACCACAGGTAAAACAAAGACAAACTTATGTTTAGTCTGTTGTAGAGGTAATATGAATTCGGATACACAAAAGTTGGACAATGTTTTAATGCCAGTTAATTAAGATTACGTAAAGTTCAATTGATTTTTTTTAAACAAATATTTGTTTAAGGTTCTCTAAACATGATGGAAAAATTATACATTCTTGATAAATATTAAGCCTAAATATATACAATTTGCTATTTTAATTTGAAGGGTTTTAAAGAAACCCCTATTTTGGCTACTCGTTTACATACATTTAAAACTAAACACCAATAATGAAATAAATTTTAAATGTTTTAATATTACACTTCATGTAGCTTGCACAAGCTCAATAAGGCATTTACTACCAAGCAATCAAACAAATAAAACTTAATTTGAAAGTATATTCATATAACTTACCAAGAACAGTTTCTTCAACATATTGAACGTGTTTGATGGCAATCCTGCGTTCAACTGTTTATATTAGGCAGGTTAGTGCTTTATCCTCTCTAAAAAACTTATTAGCAATATCACATCGAATTGAGGAAACTCTTCTTAATTTACAGCGAGATTCCCAACTGTCAATTAGGAGGAAAACTGCAGAGCTTGGTTAAGAGTTCAAAATAATTAAAACGTACAAAAAATGTAAAAAAAATTTAAAATGTACGAAGACAAACAGACGAAATAATTCGAAATTGTCCCAGCTGCTGCTTACCGGGACCTGAATTGCGTCTCGACTCCTCATGGTTAATATACAAAATTTTCACCTGTGTACTTATTTTTCCAATCCAGTATCTATTATTATTAGCATTTACAATTACTATTAACAATGCCCAAGAACAGGCCCTTTCAAAAGTTGCTGTTACCTTCCAAAACTCGTGTGTCACAAATGGTCAAACTGTATGTTGTTTTTGGCCGAGCCAAGACATTTAAAAGTATACGCATAAAAAATTAAGTACATGAGAATAAATTCTTGTACTGTCAATGTTGTCTGTAATGAAGTTTTAATTTTATTAAGATAATATGACTATTTACTTTTAACTTCTTCAATATTTCTTTTAGCACAGCAATAATTATACTATTGAACATATATTTTCTTCCAATGCATGTTAATAATGTTTTAGGAAATTTATTCATAAACAATATTAACATAATCGCATTATGATAATCATTTAGCGAATTTCCCGCAGGGGGAATAAACTCATGGACCGATTTACATTCTCGTTTGGATGTCCCCAGAGGCCGAAAACATCATCCGATCAACATTATATATATATCCGTTTGCGAGATAACTCGGGAAAAGATTATCGGATTTTATGAAATTTGGTACAAATGTGTAAACCTACGTTTATTTAAACGAGCTCAAAAACCAGAATGATCAGACTATGGGAACGAAGGTTTATGGAGTAAAAATTGGCTTTCCCTTGTTGACCCTAAAACATAAATTTTGCATTTTCTTTTCAACAATTTTTTAGACCATGAAAAATAATAATTGTATATTAAGCATTGTTGTATGCCTGATGGCAATATAGAAAGCTCCAAAAAAGTGTAAATTAAAATCCACATCTTATTGTTATGGAGAAAAAGAAAACTGTTGTAATTTGCTTGTTAAGAGCATATTTTAATCGAATTTGGCAAATTCATTTACTTAATGAACATATCAACATTTCAATAAAAAACACACTTGTTTACATTCCATGGAGCAGTAAACCTAAGTACTCATTAAAATTTTTGTAATTTTCATAGGAAATAAATGTGACAATATTAAGGGAATATTTTGTGGAAATCCAGCCAAGTACCTAAATGGGTATTCGCTTAGTCTGCAGGTTTGCTGTGGTGGGGGTATTTATTTATTTTTATAACACACAAATCTATAAATAAATCACTTATAAAATCTAAGTATAATTGCTTGGATTCAACCACCCAAGTTTCCATTTCGTTATGTTTCAGAGTTAAAGCCGATTGTTCTGTGATGTGAATAAAGGACTAAAAGTTAACAATAAAATGAATTAAATAATAAAAACCTAGCTTTTAACTAATTTTTTAAGCTCTTAATGACTGTTTGAAGGTTATATTTTAATAAAAACATTAAGAATAAAAAACGTTTATCATTTTTTTTATTTGTAAATGATTAAAGTTTTTACTCTACCACACGAATTATTGAAAAAATATTTTGTAAAACAAAAAATACTGGTATAAGTTATTAAATGCTATTTTGTAGTTGTTTATAGAAAATGCGTAAATTTCTGAAATTTTAAAACTTTAGGGGTCATTTAAGGATTGGGGAAAATATAATAGTAATTTATCAATAGACCTCACACTACTTAATAAAAAAATAATTATTTTGCCCTCCGGTAAAGTTTGGAAAACCACAAAAAGCATTTGTGTTCTTTTTGGGAGTAAAATTATGTTCCATTCAACTACCTTTTTTAAGAAATCATTATCATTGTTTATTGTAACTGGTGATTATACATTATGGAGCTCCTGTAGACACGGTGATAACATAAAAACTTTACATAAAGCAACATTTTAATAAATAAATAATATTTACTTTGTAGTTCTTTTGAACTCTTAACCCAGTTCTGCAGTTTTCCTCCTAATAGACTTCCAGGAATTTTGCTATAAATTAAGAAGAGTTTCCTTAATTTGATAAGATATTCCTAATAAGTTTTTTAGAGGTGAAAGCCCCAACAACGACCTAATATAAACAGTTGAACGCAGGATTGTCATCAAACACGGTCAATATGTTGAAGAAACTGTTCTTGGTAAGTTTTGAAAATAATTTTATATTAAGTTTTTATTTGTTTGATTACTTTGTTAGGGTAGCAAATGCCTTATTGAGTTTTGTAAGTTTCATGGAATTAAAAAATTAAATAACATGTTTTTATTTGGGTAGGCAGAAATCATGTAGTATTAATACATTGAAAATGCATTTCGATATTAATGTTCATTTAAATTTGTGCAAAAGAGTAGCAAAAATATTTTTTCTATAAAATGTAAAAAAAAAATAAATCGTATATATTTAGGCCTAGGTACTAGTTATCAAGAATGTGTGTTTGTTTCTGGCAATTTGCTAATCACACGATTAAGGATACCTTAAACATATATTTCTACAAAAGATTTAACAATTGGACTTGAACTAATCTGAATAAATGGCATTAACTTAAATTATCCAAGTTTTGTATGTCTGAATTAATTTTAGTTTTTCACCAGACTAAAAATGAGGACAGCAGTTTGTCTCAGTTTTTAACCTGAAGCTCTATGTGTTGGATTTTTCTGAGTGTCCAAACCTTGTTCTCTAACACTATAAATACAGATTCCCATTATGTGTAGGGAATAAGTAATGCATGAGCCTTAATTTAATAACAAGTCTAGACAATCCTCGTACGAATCCATTACACTGTAATTAAACTTAAAACTTCAAGTAATGTCCATAAAGATCATTTATAACCAAATAATTCATCTCTTTCAAACAAACCTGTCATTTGATAAATAATAATCATATAAAAATACTAACAGAATACTTTTTTAATTTCCCGCTAAACTATGACAAAGAAATGTTGGTTAATTAAGTAAGCATTGGCTAGAAAAATTTCAATAAACTATTTGGGTAGTAAATATGTAAAAATCTCTCCTCACATGAACTTATATTACCATATTCAGTTCATTCTGTAAATATCCGTGTCAAACATTTTAATGTCAACAGTCTAAAAACTTTAAAATATTTGCGCGTGAAAATTGCCAACTCAAGTAAAAACGTGAAACCTGTCTTTGTTCTTTCTACTCCGTAGAATAAGTAAATAGATTATTGGTTTCAGTTTCTTTGCTCCATGATTTGATGTAGTTTTAATTGAATCAACAATGGCTAAAGATTGAGATCAGCTGGGTGTGTTTTCAAACCATCAAAAAGCTACTAACTTCTCTAAGCATCGCACGGTGACCTTTGATTACCAGGTGACTGGTATTCAGCTATTATTGGTAGGATTGTTATAAATTTTGATTGTTGGGTTTTCAATAAATGCATGTAGTGTAGAATATTTCTATCAGTCAAAGATAATACTCATACTCCTCTTCATTGCAGGTCTGTCTGCTGTTCGTGGCTCTCGTAGCCTCTATACAAGCCGCTCCAGAGCCTGTACCACAACGTGGAGGTGGTGGTGGGGGCTACGGAGGTGGGGGCTACGGGGGTGGACACCACGGTGGTGGAGGACACCACGGTGGTGGAGGTCACCATGGTGGTGGCGGATGCCATGGAGGACACTGTGGATAGGTTAGGAAACCTCCCTGACTTGATATTACTGTAATGTAAACAAATAAAGTTTTACTAATCTGTGTTAATCGACATGTCTTAGCTTTGTATTTAAGACCAATTTTCCCTATATTTATCTAAAAAAAATCGAAAACTATTTTTCATCATGCTGTCCGGAAAGCAGCCGTTTTTAGTTCTCTAAATCGTCTGCAAAATTGTTTTCGGGTAACTGCTAATCACACGATAATTTTAAAGCTATGTTTGTAAATAACAAAAATGTTAACATTCATTACGACTATGTACAACCTCAAGTTATGTGGTCTAACTTTGTAAAGATCAAAAGGTTATTTCCACAATATGATTAAAATAGTTTTTACGGAGAGAAGTATCTTTTTGGCACTTAATCGTATTTCAAAATTGCGTACCCAAAAGAGTTACTTTCACTCCGAATGACGAAAACTACTTATTTCCCCTCGTGCTTTGAAACAAAATTGGATAACGACTCAGATGAGAATGTGACCATTGAATAGTTATTTGTGTAGTGCAGCAAAGGCATTTTCACTCGCGTTACATATTATATTTTTCCTACAGTTACTAAAAATCATATAAATAATTATTCAAACACTATACACCAAGATTTAGGTTAGGCTAAATCAAAGCGTTGAACAAAATGTGAAACGCTTTACCAGTTGATCGTAGTCATAGTATATTTTAAGTGTTGCCAACTTATTTTCAAGCGTACCCGTATTACGTGCCTAATAAATGCACACGGTTTTGTGTTGTTTGGTTGGATTACTAGAGTGAAACAGTGCAAAAAATGAGTGCGGAAAATATAATTTAGTGTGGCAAAAGTAAGTAAATGCAGTAATTATCTACTTTGCGTGCTATAATCAGTGCAAGGAGGCCAACTTTGGCGGGTAACTGTAGGAAAAAGTACATTTTGTTTATTATCTTTGGATATGTTGCAAGAATAAAGTGATTGGTAAATACCTTGCAGGCTACATAAATTTTTTTATGTGTTTAGAGGACTTGTGTAGAAAAACAATACGATATCGTCAAAGATATGAAGGCTGATGTTTCCCGGGACCAGATTACTTCCTATTTCCTCAGGGTAAAAAAACTTATTTATGACCTGAATCAATACGACTTATTGAATTATTTTTAGACTACATATTCCTAAACTGGCTAAAAATTTCAATTAGGAAGGAAATCTTGACATGAGTCCATAGTCTAAGGTTCTTTTTAATAACAAATCACGTTAATTATAGGTTTTCTGCTGCGGGGAAGATTATACGTGTTTTTTTTTCAAATGTAAATTGTATAGGATAACATTAATAAACTTTGATAAAATATATCCATAATCAAGCAAACCCCAACAGATTTCATTTACTGTATAATAATATCATGGACATTATATATGTACAAGTTTTTTTTTTATTTCTCCGTAACCTTTAGTTACACAACAACGCATCAATGCACAAAATGGTTTGTTTATCTAAGCTTGACATGATGGTCGTAATGAAAATTGAGCATTTCCATGTGAAACTTTTAACATAAATGCATTCAAGAAGGGGAATAGCTACGGCAATAGTTACTTTCCTAGAAGGGAATTCGCTAAAATTTAAAAAAAATGTTAGATATATATGCTTTTTTTACATTTCATTTGTTATCAATTTTTTTCACACAACTGATTTAATGAACTTGTGAGACGTTCTACGGTGTTGAATACAATAATCGAATTTATTAATAAACAATTATGGGTGTTTCACAACAGCTTTTACGGAACCCCCATGTATTCTCTCATTTTTAGAGACCCCGTTGTGCAGTACAGATAGAATACTATTTGAAATAGTCGTTGGAAACGCAAAAAATGTTGTAAATGGTCAAAATAGTTGAAATAAAGCGATATTTCTATCAAACATTCGCAAATGATTAAATAAAACTATGATAAGTCAAATTTTTTTATTTTTATTTTGGTTGAAAGATTCACCGGTAAAAATAATAGTAGGGGTTTGGACAAATATGTTAAAATGACACTTTATCTTTGCCCAATCAAAAATAGCCTTCTTAGAGGAAAATATTGCAAATTCAATCGCAACTATGACCGACGTTGGGGTTAAAACATAACATTTCCTTTGTCCGATTAGATATTCACTAATAGGTTGTAGGATAAGACTTAAATATAACCAAATGTAGACACAGCCACACGTTCATTCAACCGTTGACTATTATTAACAAAGAGTCCATAGTTGAACAAGTTGTTTAACCAAACAACTACTTAATCATGAAGGCAGCTTTCTTGGTAAGAACAGCATTTATTTTATATGTATTTGTGTATATCAACATATTTATAGATAGTTTTATTCAAGTGTGTAAATCCTAGTCATCAAATATTTGGTGTGGATTCATAACCCTTCATCTTTTCCTGTGATCAAAATGGAAATCTTCTGATACAGATGTTTTACACCAGCTTTAAGATTTCATCAATCACATAATATATGCTTTAATTTATCCCCCACTTTTAATAAAAATTTATATAGTAAAATTAAATTCTGTGTGTGCAAGCAGGAACCATCCCAGGATGGGGTTTCGGATATGTCCCATATCATTTTAGATAAAATTACACTCCTCTCCCACAATTAATTATGTTATTCAAATTTTTAAAATGCTACCTTATTAGATCAATATAAAATTTTAAATTGATAATAATAATCAAACAACATGATTGTATTGTAACATGACGTTCTTTCCTTCTCTAGCTGAAACCACCACTGTACCAAAATTAGTTTAGTAGTTGTTTGTACATTCACATTTCAAGTGGGTTATTTCACTTAATTAAATATTGAGGTTGTAATTCTCACAAGTCATGAGGAGTAAAATAGCTCTATTTCTCCCTTTCTTACACTTTCACACTGTTGCAGGTTAGTCTTCTGCTGGTGGCTCTTGTAGCCTTTACCCAGGGTGCTCCTGAACCTGAACCACAGCGTGGCGGAGGCTATGGTAATGGTGGAGGTGGAAACTATGGAGGTGGAAATCGTGGAGGTGGAAACTACGGCGGTGGAAACTACGGTGGTGGAAACCAAGGAGGTGGAAACTATGGCGGTGGAAACCATGGAGGTGGCAACTACGGCGGTGGAAACTATGGCGGTGGAAACCACCAACGTCCCTGCTACGGACGTCACTGTGGAGGAGGTGGGGGTTGCTTTGGTCGTCACTGTGGTTAGTTCAACCACCTAACTTTACAATACGTAAATGGAAGAAAATAAAGAAAGTGGCTTCATGAAAGTGTTTCATATCACCCAATCACTGACTCTCTTTTTGTGAACATATTATTTTAATTTACTTTGTGTGTTTTGAGCAATTTTGGAATTATTTACTTTTTTGTCAGGTTACGGTCCAACCCTAGTCATAAAGCTAAAGTCTGCTTTGTGTTTGATAGCATTATTAAATTGTCCAATGACAAAGTGTATTGGATTAAGAATCAAAGAATTGGTGGATTTATGATCAAAGACACCTGGCTCCAGTTTCGAACATAAAATCTACTGACGTTTCTCATAATCAAGCCATAGGCAAACCTATATACAGTAGAACCTCGATAAGAAGACCCTCGATAACAAGTCACCGTTGATAACAAGGGTCATTTTCAAACCCCCTTGAAATTATTTTACCCCTAATCACATGTTATTGCTAACCTCGATAAGAAGTCAACCTTGATAACAAGTCTTATTTTAGGATCCCTATGAAAGTTTTGTTATCAAGGTTCTACTGTATGTCATTTCCGCCTAAAACTAAAATATATAACATTACAAGAAGTTATACGTTAAATGAGGAAATGTTCCCTCATTTTTAAACTTCAACTTAAAGTAGTAAAACACTTCAGGAGAGATTGATGTCCAAAATCAGACCCACAAGAAAAATTGTAGCTTTTATCTCATGATGAAGTTAAGCATGGATATAACCACATGGAGACGCATGGAGTTAAGCACGGGTAGGAGTGCCATTGTACCTTAATCAGCAAACTTATTAACAAGTCTTCCCTGACGCAATGTAGGCTCTAAACCCTTAGTAGATAACGTATATACCGTAAGCTACTATTTCCTATGTTTTATTTTCTATGTTTTTCTATGTTATATGTTCTTATTTTCTATGCAGTAGTATCTTAATCTCACTAGAGGTGTTGAACCTTAGTAAATAACATTGACCTTGGCCATTGATATTTACACGAAGGTTTCCCAAACACTTTCCTTGATATTTCCTAAAACTTTCCTGAAACGATCCAGGAAGTTTACACAAATTAGTCTATTACAGGCCAGTGCTCCCAGAGGGACAAACCTCTCTAGAGGTCTTCATAGTCCAAACCTGGATTCACTAAAAAAGGTGAGGTTTTTTTTATCTAACACGCTCCTTTAAGGCGAATAATTACAACTCTCGTTATACAAAAGATAATTCGCATACTCCATGTACAAAGCTTCATACGTAAATCTGTCATATTATGCAAACCAAATATTATAATAAGGATTTGGTATTGAACTTACTTTTTCATTTATTAGCGTGATCTTCAATAATTCTCTTTATTACTTATCTAATACCATATGACGCATATGATATTGCTTTATCACTCCTATCAATGAGTTCATCCATGACATTCTCATTGATGTCTACAATAATTTAAAGCTCTAAGAACCATTTACCAATTATGCAATACAAGAGCTTTAACTTAAACAAATATAGATATTGGGGTGGTCTATTTTGCAATTCAAATATTAAAATGCATTGGTCAAACTAAAGGTTTATTTATGTAACAAATAGTTAATACACATTGAAAAGAAAACTAACAATAGAGCATTGGTAGGAGATTTAATGTCAAGTTTGTGGTGTTAACCTTTTCCTTTATAGCCTGACATACCACCCCCTTTTCCTCCTCCATGGCCCCCTCCACCCCCACCTTTTCCTCCTCCACTGTGTCCACCACCGCCGTGGCCTCCAAATCCACCACCTCCTTTTCCGCCTCCTCCTCCACCTCCTTTTCCGCCTCCTCCTCCACCTCCTTTTCCGCCTCCTCCTCCACCTCCTTTTCCGTAGCCACCACCACCTCCTCCTCCAGATTCTGCTGCTTCGAGGTCAGCCAGGACGGCAGTTAGCACCATTGCCAACACCAAAACGTACTGTAAAGACCATCAAGTCTAAAGCATTTGTGTACTATCAGATTATACAAGTAAATCTTACAAAGTATTTGGATTTAAGGTAATAAATTAAAACGGCAATATGGGGGTTTTATAAGAGGGGGGAGTTTGGAAAGTGATTTTTATGTTTTATTTTCCCTTGGATGAGCTTCCAGTAAAAGACACTGAGTGGCTGTAGCTTGTAGCACCTTCAGGGACTGATCCCTCTCCCTTTCCTTCTCCGCAGACCGCACATCCCTTCCCATGATCGTGACCTTCACCTTCCCCTTTTCCAAATCCAACTCCTTTTACTACACCCTTTGCAAATCCACCTCCCTCACCCTTCCCAACCCCCCAGCTATGGAAGCCAAACCCCCCAGCTCCTTCACCCTTTCCAGGCCCCCAGCTTCCGTGAAATCCTGGACCATGGCCTCCTTTTTTAAAACCTGGACTAGCGAATGCTACATCATGCCCTTTATTGAATCCATGTCCTGGCCCAGCAAATCCTACATCATGCCCTTTATTGAAACCATGTCCTGGCCCAGCAAATCCTACATCATGCCCTTTATTGAATCCATGTCCTGGACCGGTGAATCCTACATCATGACCTTTATTGAATCCATGTCCTGGTCCAGCAAATCCTACATCATGTCCTTTACTACCATGGCCAGGGGCAGGAAATCCCCCACTATGCCCTTTGTTGAATCCATGCCCTGGTAAAGAGAACCCTACATCATGCCCTTTATTAAAACCATGACCAGGGCCAGGAAATCCTACGCCATGTCCTTTGCCAAATCCAGGACCTAAGCCGAAAAACCCTCCATCTTCACCACACTCTGCGCATTCCTCACCTACGTCTTCTTCTTCACCCCCCGATCCTTGCTCAGCTTCCTCGCAATCTGAACATCCCCCACCCTTCTCCCCACCGTTTCCCCATGGTCCTTCATGACCGTGGGGTCCGTGGTTCCCAAATCCCTCGAACCCGGGACCTCCTCCTTTGTCGAAACCTCCGCCGTGACCGTAGAAGAACATTCCCAGCGCTTCCTTTTCTTGACCACAGGACACGATGGAGATGCCGACAATGGCGAAGACCGGCTGAAAATTAAAGTATTCTAAAAACTGGGTCTTACAAAGGAAATTTAACTAACCTTTTTAATTTTTTACAGATACTATTTTTTAATTGACATGAACAAGATGGTAGATTGGTATTATGATCAACAGTCTGACGTTTTCTAACGAATATTTGTTTGGTACAATATGTTTAGATCTAAACAAAATTAAGTTGTGTAAACAAACCATGGATTCAAAAATCAACTAAAAGATGGTGGAAGGGAATTATCTTAATTTTCAACTAAGTATTTCTTCGAAATTATCTTTTTTGACCTTCTCAAACCGTTGAACCTAATGACAATTAATTAATTAGGCAGATCAAGGAGTATTTAATTTAATCTTAAATTAATTTTCAATTAAATCAGTACATCGAATTTACTGTATTATTTATTTTAAATTAAACAATCAACCATAAAATACATAGCAAAAAGGGAGGTATTGAGTTTAGTAACAAGTTTCCTGTATTAGTGTGTGTTAAATACAATCATGGAATATTTTGTGTTAGATAAAGCTTTAAAACGAAAGACAAGCAAATATTGATTGAGTTGCTGTACGTAAGATTATTATGTCACTCTACGTATTTCTCATAATACCCATGGGGCTATTACAAGAACTCAGACAACAGTGGAAAATCTAATATAATATTTTTGTTCTGAAATGAAATGAAATGAAATGAAATAATGAAATGAAATGAAATGAAATGAAATAATATTTTTATTTCCCATAAATTATATACATATAATTACATTGTATTTTTTTACTTAAAATATACTACAGCAAACATTACAACTAGATAACAAAACAAAAAATTAAATTCTGTAGAAAAAAAGCCAAAAAGTGCAAAAAAAATACGTTCTAACAGAGGAAAAAGTCTACATAGGCAGGGCCTGTGCGTAGACTCGAGTTGCGAAAAGGTTAATTTAGATGGGAGGTAAAAAAATGAATAGGAAAACAAAAAATAATTAGTATAATTTTAAATAAAAAAAAAGTGTTCTTGCTTGAAACTGAATTTTTAATGTTCTGGAAATAATTGACGATAAAAAAAATTTTTTTGTACAATACTGAGGAAATTTATAAAAATCAGGTGAAGATTGAAGAGGAGAGGTGGAATGTGGTGTGTTGGCCAGTCAGTGAAGGTGGTGTATCAGTGATTGTGTTGTGTAGTGGAGTGTAGGGTCAACGGTCAGGTCCGCCCAGCGTGATAACGGCCTCGGTGTCCTCTGCACTCAGTCCTACAAGCCACGCTACTACATGCTTCTTAAATAGAGAGAGAGAGGGTGAATTTAGAATGTTGACATTTTGATATCTGTTACACATGTTACGATAAATGATTTGGGTTAAGTGAAAGCAATTCGTTTGTGAAAATGATTTTAAGGTTTGTGGAACATTTATACCAACTACCAACTTCTATATTTGGAGATTGAGTGGGTGTCCGAACCTCATAGTTATAGTATCGCCTACCTTATTGCCATTGGCCTCATACGTTACGGTATCACCTACATTAATGCCTTCGTGGGATTCGAGCCCCGAATTTCAGAGCCGAAGTCTCGTGCACTAACCAACAGGCCTGCCATACCCGTTATACTTTATACAAAAATACCCACGCGACTGTTAACCTGCAAACTAAGCGAATTACCATTATTGCTTGATTGGGGTTTCAATCAAATATTTCCTTAAAAATGGCAGATTTAATCCTAAAAAAATATATAACTTCTTTATCAGTATCGATCGTGTTATTAAATTCCCTGAAAGAGAAAAAAATACGTCAAATAACACTTGCATATTTAAACTTATATTGCTTACTCACAATACGGAAAATACATATAAAAGATGGTAAGTGGTGATCGATTTCGATTGGACACTCCAATCATCATCAGACCCAATAGGAAAATGACAAAGGGTCGCCATTGAGATTCTTGTCATGTAATTTGCCTGGGTCTGATGATTGGAGTGTCCAATCGAAATCAATCACCACTTACCATCTTGTATATGCATTTACTATCTTGTGACAGGATAAGCGTATTATTACAAGTGTTATTTGACGTAATTTGTGTACCCTCAGGTAATTAAATTATGTACAATTGAGTAACTAGGTTTGCTGCTCTAGGGTATCCAACAAAATGTGTCTTTAGAAATCAATTGGTTAGTATAAGATTAAAAAGTTCCAAATTTGATCAAAATATACCTGTAAACAAGCAAACTACCACAGTTTACCTATTGTCCATAATAATAAACATTGGGAATTTACATTTACAGTTTTTTTACTTTACTACATAATCATTTAGCGTACAACAACACTTCAATATTCAAAATTATTTAGTTTTTACGCCCTACAACGTGGTTTAAATAGGAATTGGAAAATCTTCTGTTTTTAAGTTTGCAAAGGGGAAACCCATATTATGCCACATGACACCTCATTCCCATAGCCTGATCACGTTGGTTCGCGAACTTGTTTTATAAACATAGGTGTGCCAGAACTTGATACCTAAACATTTTAATGGATAGTGTGTTTTGGCCTCCGGGGACAACAAAACGAAAAAAGTAAATTGTTCTCTGGGGTAAGTCGTACCAAGGGACTTTCGGTAATAGCCTTTTCTCTACATGGGAAATTTGCTAGTAATCCTCACATTATCAATTACATATTTTACAAGTTTAACAAAAACATTGGGTGTCAAATTAATGATGTGTCAAATTGATTAACTAAACACATGTATGGTAAAAATACAAAACATATCAGGTTTACGTATTATAATTTAAAATGTACAACGTAAAATGGTGTTTGCCGTATATAAATAACATAAAATAAAATAAATAAAATAAAATGTATAATTTCAATGGTAAATGAAAATTACATAGTTTACCTAAATACCAAACTGGCTCCAGGAATTGTGTAAGTCCCTTCAGTTCACATAATACATTGTTTAGCACATACCAGTACTGGAACCGATTTCGGTCGGGAGGCGTTCGTTTTCAAATGAGCCTAACATTTTAGATTGCCTGAAATATTTTTTTACGACATCATCAAACCACAGTTTACGTCTAAATATATTACAAACCTTACATACACTACAACACCTACACGTATTTTGTGTCAGAAATACCGTAGTAGTACTAGAAACGAACAATTGTAGTTATACACGATGTTACGTAAACAGTAATCTTTAAAAAGCTTATAAGTTCATGACTAGCTGCAAAAGTATATTTGAAAAATATAAACTCATTGCAGCCAAAGAAATATATTTTGAAATTTATATTGGCAATACATTAGAGTTTTGTTTCCAATGAAAAGGGCTATTTTAAAAGAATTTTATACCTATAAAACTCTTTTTAATATTCCACTGTACCGATAATGGTTTTCTCAAGAAAATAATGATAATGTGTTCTCAATAAACATAAATTAATTAAATTAATCGATTGCCTTGTTACAAAATTACTTTTATAACCTATCACAACCTGCTTTTAGAACGTATTCCAAAACTTTCTTATAAGAATTAAAATCTTAAACTGGGTTTGAATTTGATCGCTTTCAGAAACGAATTATCAACCTTCATATTAGAACTTAGGCACTCGGGTACTAATAATTGTTTTCTGAAAGTTTGAATGTGTTATTTTTACAATTAGACTTATACAATTTTAACTTATTTTTAATATCTGCAGTAAACCATCTGGAATTTTAATCTAAACAATTTGTTTTATATCGTACATTCAATTAAACCAAGTAAATTAAACGTTATGTGAAAACCCAAAATCTTAAACAGTAGTAGCCTATATAAATTTCAAAATAAATACTTCACTAATATTTTCGTAATTTTATTCATTTTATTTTACATTTAAAAGGATATAAAATCTGAAAAATATAACTTAGATTTAAAGTCAAATATATTGAAATGCGAAATTGGTACTCCAGGTCTTACGAGAAATACAGAGATTGGAAAGTTTTAAGTCGTTAAAAGGTTTTACTACACAACAATTACAAGTCGATAAAGTTTGGCATACAATTTTAAACCCTATTCACTTCATTACACCTTTAGAACAGTTGTTAATTAAAAAAATTCAGACCATCTGTAAATAAATTCGTCTATTTTAACACTCTTACCCAATATGAAATTTAAAACAGCACTTAACGTAATAAAGTTTGGAATGGAGATATTTTGCAAACTTTCTGACTTCAGTTCAAAGGATTTACACCCATCTTCAGATATACAGCAAACAGGTTTTTGCCACTTAAAGCAGCATAGACTAGGCACAAAGTGTTAATTTAATTTAATATTTAAAAATAATAAAATATTCCTCTTCCCTAGGATGCTTATAAAAGAAGCTACAAAATTAAGTAGTCGAAAAAACTTTTAGGCCTTACAAAAATGAAACTACTTTTCTCTTTTGTTTTGATTCGATTATTTGATTTACAATGTTAAATTAATTTGAGATAAAAGGTTATTTCACTTAAATTCTGTCATTGATTCTGCAACTTTTTCTATGGGCTGTTGACGATTGTTTCACTGACTTTGTTTCGAATATGTTCTTCAGATTGTTGTAAAGAATATCAACTTTAGCTCAGATTGAGGTAGTTAAAAGACTAAACACGTTTACGAACATGTACAAATCTATTAATAAACAACAAATACTAGACTACTCAACAATGTACGATTAGTAAAGGAAGTTATAGAAATTCAGGCAGAATCAAGCTACAAACAGCTATTATCTACTTACTATCCTACTTTTATCGTTATAAGTTTTGTGTTATACCGATACAAGAATACCTAACCATAAAGGGTAATTTTATTGAATTTACCATATACGCAATCAGCTATTACCGTAGGTCTCCTACCTGGTAAGACCTTGACCCGGGACCGATTTACTATTTTGTTTTGAGTTTTCTAGAGGCCAAAAAACTATTTGTAAACGCAACAACTTAAGCAATTTTAGTAAAATGTTGATGCAATTTGTATAAACGTGTAGGACGTGTGCTCATATACACTTAAATTAATTTGTAAACCTGCAAAATCAGACTATGGAAACGGGGTTTCTCATTTTTTCCTCAATACATAATACTTTGCAATTTCTTCAATTTCGAGGAGCTTAAAAATATAAATAATGTAGTATAATCAAGCTATGCTGTACGCTAATCAATCAATAGTTATGGAGAAAAGTTTAAAAGACCGTTAATTTATTTTGATTTCCCATGTTATTCTTATAGAAAATAAACAAACTGTTGCGGTTTGGTTGTTTATGAATATATTTTATTTAAATTTGGAAATTTACTCCCCTAATACTTGTGAACATTATTGGCATTTTACAAAATCACACATTATTACCTAATCTGTAGCAGCAAACCAAATTATTCATTAAATCTAGTTTTATCCAAACATATATAATTCTGACATCTCAAAGGAAAATATTTGATCAAAAATCAAATCATCCAAATGGAAATTCGCTTAGTTTACAGGTTTGCTTTAGAATGAATACAAAAAAAAGCATTACTTAGTAGTACAAACAAATTACTCGTCTAAATAAATACAATTTACAGATAATTAGCAAGGCAAAAATATTGAGAACGAATTAATTCAATATACTAAGTGCGAACAAAGTAGGCTAGTGCAAGGTACGTACCAGAGTCCACTTCATGTTGCAGTGCGCCCCCTTGGTCTTCTGCTCCTGCTATATTCCAGGACCGTGTCATTCCAGTTTCACGCTCCAAGGACTGGAAGATCCTAGTCCTGACCATGACCAACCGCTATTGTAAAGCCCAAGGTCAAACATTGCCAATATTTTGGGTTATTTCCTCATAAGCCAGAGGTGGGTAGAAAATTGCACATGATGCATTTTTTTCAATTTTGATATATACCTGGACCTATTGTAATCAAACGTCTACTATATAGTATTGGTATTTAAATTGTATTGAAGTATCCTTGACTATGGATATAATTAGACATTAATCTCCCAATCTAATTCGTAGCTAGTTTTTGAAAGGAATTAGCAGAATTGAACCACCGAAAATTATTTAAATTATTAATTTCTAGCCAAACCAAAGGGAAAGTTCTTTACACTATAACATCCTTTCCGCCTCATAAATTATAACAGTAATAAAAACAAAGGAAGAAAAATAATTTTAGACCGCAGCAAAAACTGAATCTGAATCATTCAAATTATATTCTTTGCTAATAAAACAATGGATACATCTGGCACATACACACGATGTCCACTTTTGTATCCAAAGTCAATGACGTGGCGTATTGTAACATCAACATGTTGTAACAATTTTTAATATCATTTAAATCTATTCAAAACTCTTGAATACGTCTCATCAGAGTGGATCTCTAACCAAAGGTTTCTAATTAATAAATTGGAGAAAAATCAATGAAGATTTATTTGTATGGTTAGTTTAAGTATAGGATTCCCTTACTGTAATGTGCATAATGTTTTCTCAGTTGTTATTTAGCTTGTAGGTTTGTTTATTAGTTGTTGTTGTCATATGAAATTTAATTTATAGGACCTAGTCAAAGTATTGTTATTGTCGTTTGATTTATTAAATGTTCATTCTAGTCATTCACTTAATCCTGCATTAGATCTAAACTGTTATCCATTTGTTTCTAGATTGCATTGTTGAAGTTACTCTTAATAAGCTAAGAACCACTTTTTATTTGCTTTTGTACTAATATATCCATTCAACTGTTCTTTTAAATGTTCAAAATTAGCCATCCTGAGGTTTTTACTTCTTTGGTTTGTTACATGTAAAAATGGATTACTGGATGGATTAATTCATTATGTAGAGTTATATGCGAGCTTTCACTCTGCATTTTTGTTGTGAGTTTTTTTGTGAAGGGAGCCCACCAATAAGTGCAATTAGATCACACATTACACTGTTTATTGTTTACAATCCGTATTGTCAATTAGACACTGTTTGTGTTTATTGTGACGTTTTAAACACATTTATCTTGTCACGAGAAAAAATGTAATGTAAAAGAAAACGGACGAAGAAAGCGTAATAGTGTAAAAGGAGCGTTACTCTTAATTCAGACTGAAATAATAGGACCACTTATTGTCACTTGAAATAAGCTTGAAACGCATTCTACTCCTTGTTAACACAAGACATTGTATAGGCTAATGTTAACCAAACAACTCATTTATGTTAGATTGTATCAAAAGTCACACTATTCAACTATTCAACCGTTCTGTAGCGCTGATTTCCTCTTTTACCATTTTATTAGCCAAGTAGTCTAATTCGTAAGATAATGGGTTGGTCTTATCACCCAAACCTATTACCATTAAAGAGAATTGTCCATGAAACTTAGTTTTACAGACACTGGTGATTTTAAGTATCTTAAACTCATCCTTTATTTGAAGCATACTTTATTTGAAGAACATTTATACATTTACGAATTGTTTTAACACCTTTGCGAAAGGACTGAGGACTAAGTAAATACGACATGCAAAAGTAAACATTAGTTGGGTGCAAGGTATGCGAAAAACCCAAATGGGTTTTGGTGTTCACAGACTAACAAATAGTTATAAAGCTAATTATAAATGACAAAACCCAATGTGCAACATGCACCAAAAAACACACTTTTTTTAGTACAGCTTTTATTCAATAACAGTCCACAATTCACCAGTGGTAGTCCGCCTCATAAGTACTCATACTTTCACTCTGTCCAGAAGTAGGTTTGTTCTTATATCCACCCTTTCGTCCTCTATCCTCTCCATTACAGCATGATCTTCTTTGAGCTTCCCCCCCATAACGTCCTCCATGTCGACCTCCATGGCCTCCATGCTGGTTATTACCTCTACCTCTTCCCCTCCATCCGCGGTCCCCAGTTTCATCTTCATAGGAGAGGACAATCTTGACAATAAGGAGAAGAAGAACAATCTGAAACTGAATAAGTAAAATAGTGAAAAAAATTATTAAATTAAAAGTTCAAGACGTGGAGTGAAAGATAGTAAATTAATTTAAATGTATAAATCAGTGAATCGTAAAATAAATTTATGTGAAAGGCATAGAAAGAACATTGGTTTTCTTATTGCTGTGTACCTCAAGAAGAAAGTGTATTATGTGTTTTAAAAGTCGTGTTTAAAAAAAAGTTTGATTTGAGTTTTTTTACAGCTAAATGTTTAATCACCCCCAAGGGAAAAGAGGGTTAATGTAACGATCCCATAAAGAATACACTAAAAGATTATTTCTTTTAGCATTACTCAGAGATGGGGCCACAAATGTTAGGATGGAATGATATATGTTGTTTAGTCTTATTACTGAGTAAGAACAGTTTTTCTTTGATTTTTACAACATTCATTTCTGGTTCAATTTCTGGTTCACATTGGTCACAAAAGTAAAAAAAAGTATTCGCCAAATAACATGATTGGATCGCTAAATCTTGAGGCGACGACTAAAGGCGTTAACTCCATCGTGTTTCTTAGTTAACTTGAATTTAGACGAAGTTTAACAATTTTAATTTTCTTTAGGCTTCGTCCAACAGGCCTTGGAAAACAATCCTTCGGTGTAATCTGCTAACTCCAGGAATTATTGTTGGATATTTTATAAATTAAAGGGTGAGAATTTCAATGAAGGTAGAGTTGTTGTTTTTCGTAGCTGTTGTGAGTGATCCAGAACATTATAATAAAAACACTAAACACTTGGTCAAGTATTAAGCAATTTAAAAGTCAATATCAATTATATCAATTGTATCAATTTAAGAAGGGGACGCACTTGTAATGTCACTCAATTGTAATAAACCTGTAGTAATAACATTTGTTATAAGCTTGATAATAAGTTTAATCTGGATTGATTTGACTACCCAATTATTAACTGAAACTTATTCACATTTAAAATGAGTATAATGTCGACTCAGCTACTCAAAAAGTGTTTAAAATAATAAAGGAAGCTTTTTAAATCGAACTCTAAAGTTACCCAGGATGTTCAACTAAAAGATATAAACGTTAGACCACTTATTAATATAAATACAATTCTATTACTATAATTTGGCAAATAGTCTATTTCGCTCAAGGTCTATCTAAATACAAGGACGTTTTTGAAATAATGATTTTAAAAATATGTACAATTGTTAAGGGAGAACAATATCTGGGTACGTTTACAATATAACACTAGTTGCTTGAGAAAAGATTTTGTTAATGAAATTACTTTCCTGAATTAATGACACATACAATGCCAAATCAAGAAGTTATTTATTTGAAACTTCTTCTATACATGTTCCGTCAGTTCCAATGGTAAACAAAAACCATAAAGTACACATTTATGATAGTCAGAAATTTCAAAAATTCACTATTATCACAATACACTATATTATTGAAGTACATGTCTGTATTTGTAATAGTCAAGCTTTAAGTGTAATAAAATCAAGTTCAAATAATAATGTTCATATAAAATATAGATAACATAAAATGGTCTACTACACTAACAGCTTATAAATTGTTCAAGGTTCTACCAATTTAACAAGCCCTAAGCTTAATATTCTCTTAAAGATTGATACAAGAAGAAAAACAATAAAAACAATTATTAGGTACTTTAAAATTTGCCTAAGCAAAAGTGACTTACTCTTAGCGGTGACATAGCGTCGAGCTGTGTGACTATAGAGCTATATAACCTGCATGTGGTGACTCATAAAATTGCCTCTATTGTTGGACGAAAAGCCTGGAGTAAACGAGTTAACGTGGTTAGCTTCGGGCGAGTTTCTTTTTAAGTCATCACACCAATCTTGGGAAATTATGTTTTGTGAGTGCCAATAGTTTGTGTCTCTATGTTGTTGTAGAGCTCATACAAATAAATATAATTTAAAATGTTATCTACTATTTTTTTTTTTTTTTTTTTTTAGGGAGAGGAGGGAAAATGCTTTTACGCACACAGGTAGCCAGCCTGTAGTGTGAGACTCCTGAAATTATCAGACTACTCACTAAAAAACCCCCTCTACTCTGTTGGACACAGACCTGGAATTGTTTGTCACATTACTTCAAGTCAGGCCAACATGTGACCTAAGCCCTCAGGGCTCGCACCGTTTCTGGCATTTTGATTCTTTATGACCTACACCGCATCCCGGTCAAGGTCGATCTTCTTGGCGCGGAGGATACCCTGGATATAATGTGACACACAGGTCCAATTGTCCTCACCCTCCGTCATAATCGGTATGACCGTGTCCACCGACAGCAGTCCTATTAACTGTTGAGCCTCCAGGCGGGGCCTTTCCCAGCGCTGGCAGTGGAAAAATGTATGTTCCACGTCATCGAGAATGCCTGGGCAGTATATGCAGTCGGGAGACACGGCTTTGCCCATCCTGAACAGGTACGACCGGAAAAAGCCGTGTCCCGTCAGAAATTGGGTGAGGTAAAAGTCCACCTCTCCGTACCGCCGATCAACCCAAGGTTGGACTTGCTGTATCAGTCGCCTGGTCCAGAGTCCCAGCCCTCCTGCCACAGCTGGTAGGTGCGGGTGCGTTCCTCTGTTCGTGCTCGTCCTCCCCACGGCGCCGGTAAATTGCCTTTCTCTCCGCCGCCAAAAGTTTGACGGGGATGACTCCAGCAATCACCAGGACGGCGGGCTCGGACACTGTTCGGTAGGCAGATGCTACCCTCAGTGCTGCCTGACGCTGCACTCGGGCGAGCCGCATCCTGTATGCCTCCTTATTTAGTGCGTCTGCCCACACCTCCGCACCGTACAAGAGTACGGACTGGACCGAAGACATTAACAGCCTTCTACGACTGGACCGAGGCCCTCCGACATTGGCCATCAACCGGCTAAGAGAAGAAACCACCCTAGCGGCCTTGTCCGCTGTTCGGAAGATCTGATCCCGCCAGCTAAGCTTGCTGTCTACCATGACCCCAAGATACTTGGCAGAACGAACAGTTTGAAACTCGACGGCTCCCACCCTCAACGGCACGATGGTGTCAATCCGTTTTTTTGTCAAAATCACGATCTCGGTTTTGCTCAGAGCAAGTGAGAGACCGTGGTCTGCCATCCATGCGTTTATGGTACGCATAACTCGGTTTAGCTTTAGCTGAGCCAGCTCAACGCTACGTGCAGCTATCAAAGCTGCAACGTCGTCTGCGTACCCAACCAAGACCGTTTCCTCAGGCATTTCAGACCTCAGAAGGCTGTCATAAGCGACGTTCCAGAGGTCTGGGCCGAGTATGGAACCTTGGGCAGCACCAGAAGTGACACTCATCGTCCGCGGGCCCTCCGCAGTGTCATACGTTAGGAGGCGAAACCGGAGATAATCCTCTATGATGCGCATGAGGTATGCCGGCACGTGAAAGGTGTTCTCCAGAGCGTCCAGCATATCGCACCACCTCGCCGAATTAAATGCATTTCGCACATCGAGCGTTACGAGCAGCACAACCCTGCGAGAGTAGTGGTTAAAATCCTCAGCTCTCATCACTGCTTGCTTCACCTCATCAATCGCATCAATCGTTGATCGCCCCGTCCTGAATCCATACTGACGAGGGGAGAGGTCCCCCGCAGCGACAACGGCTGAATTCAGCCGGGAACGGATCAATTTCTCGAGGACTTTGCCAGCCGTATCCAACATACACAGAGGTCTGTAAGAGGATGGCAGATCTGGGTCTCCCTTGCCCTTCCCAACAAGCACAAGCCTAGCTGTCTTCCAGCACAAGGGGAAAACCCCTTCGACTAGGCAGGCGTTGTACATGCTCAAAAGGATCAAGGGGTTGGTAGTCAAAACCTTCTTGAGGACTTCACCGGGTACCCCATCAGGACCAGGAGCCTTGTTGTTCTTCAGGGATATGACGGCCGCCACCAGCTCTTCAGGGCTGAAAAGTGGGACGTCGTCCACCCTTCCGAAATCCCGCAGTGGTCGCAACGCGTGAGCCGGGAAAAGGGACTCGACTATCCTCTCCATAGTGACCCTGTCCATAACGGAAGGTGGAGAGCGGGTTCCAAGTTTCTTGGTTACAAGATTGTAACCCAGGCCCCACGGGTTGGAATCAACATCGTCCCTTAATTTATCCCAGCAACTGCGTTTACTCCGATTGATGGCTCGACGAAGATACCTCCTAGCCGCCCTATAAGCATCCGACTTACGCCGTCTGTCTAGGGGTTCTCTAGCCCTGATAGCAAGTCTTCTGGCTCTCAATGCTGCTCGTCGCAATTCCGCAATCTCGGCAGTCCACCAGTACACAGGACGCTTATTGCACCGGTATCTCCTGCGAGGCATAGATTCATCGCAGGCCGAGACAATCAGTTCCATCGTGGATGCAACTAACGCCTCTGCGTGAGGCACGCCAGTTGCGGGATGAATATCCGGCGTTCTTCGTAGGATGGCTCCATTGAATTTTGCCACGTCCAGTTTTTTAATGTTCCATCGAACGGGCACTTGACGAAACGCTGACACTTGTCTCTGATGACCATCCAGGACGTCAAAAATTATGTACTGGTGGTCACTGGCCGTGAAATCCTCCAGGACTCTCCAGGATCTGATCCTTGGCAAAAGGGACTCAGATGCAAGGGTAATGTCTGGGATCGTCCCCCGCATCCCAGGGCGGCGGAAAGTTGGCGTGTTGCCCTCATTCAGTGTTATCTACTATACTATTATATAAAAATCTAATGGTGTCTGTCTGTATGTGTATTACTAATAGGTGCAAAAACTACTGAACCAACTGGGCTTAAATTATACAAAAATATAGCTATCATATTAAGGACCATTATAGGACTATTCACATTTCGATACTGACCGTAGGCTTTGCCCCTTTGGCTTTAAAAGTTCTGAGGTGAACATTTTAAAAGTAAATATTGATTGGTCTCCGTGGCTGTGATGAGAACACTAACAATATTTGTTTACATTTGCTTTGACATTTAAATGTAAACAAGAAGAACTGCTAAACTGCATATTTCACAATTTTTAGACAGCTGATACAAAGAAATTTAATATAATATTTTCCATAACTATTAGGTAGGTTTATTTTAATCTAACCTTTTATCATGGATTATTTATTCTAAAACTATGTCAATGATTATAGAAAAAAAAGATTCTATAACCGTAGCTGTTACAACTCCGGCTTTGCTTTGAATTTTTTAAAGCGTCTAAGTTATGAAAATAATGTTATTGATATGTTTTCATGGAAACAGTATTAAAATTACAAAGTATAGATGTTTTATATGAATTTGGAGGCTACTTTAAATAAATTCTAACTGCTTAACATATGTTAGATTAACTTAACATAACTTGCACATCACATTGTTTTTTTATGTATATTATGTATATTTAGGTAAATTAAGTTATAGTGTTTTTCTAAACCTATGCTTAAATTAAACTAAAGAATATCATCAATAACTAAATTGTACGTTGGTTTTTGTTTTCTATTACATTATTTACTTATCAAATGCTAATACAAAATACTCTTATTTTATCTTAACATAGCTTTCAGTTCACATTTAATTTATTTGATACATTTATTATTTATGTTTTGCCACACCACTAATTAAATTAAACCAAGGAAAATATCATAAAACTAAGCAGTACACAGTGTTCTTTTGTTTCTAAAATCAATGAAATATCTGTTACTATGTTTTCTTAATGGTAAGTGTGAAAATGTAAAGGCAATGGACGATGGAACTGATTAAAAGAATGAGTTTGTATATTAAGTTGTGTGTTGATATTTTTGTAGAGTAGAATCAGAGATGCAATGAAACACATACTGTATTTGCTGTTACATTTTTTAGTAGGTACTTGATGTTTTGATAATCATATTAGTTTCATCTGTTGTCTTTAATGCTAAATTATTTGTTTAATTTTTTTTATAGTACCTATAGATATAGTTTCTTTAATATAAAAAAAAAAAAAAAAAACTGTATTGATAAGGCACAGCAATATTTCTAAAGTTTATAACAGCTGACTTAGTTTTGCTAATTATTTATTGTGAGTGAAGAAACTGAAGACGGAAGGATTTGTGATTTAATATGAAGAAGAGTGAAATTAAAAAAAAATTCATTTAAATTTAATAATTAGTATTTTTGCAACTTCAAAATTGAAATGTAAAATGTCAATAATAAATTAAAATATATGTAAGATGAAGGTAAATCATGTATGTCAATGTTTTATTCGAAGATTTGGTAAGTTTTTCTCATATCAGCCTACACAAGATTTAAAATTAATCAAAACCATAATGGTGGTATCCACTACTTACCAGATTTAAAAGTCATATAACTTTAACGTTTCTATTAAGGCTATAAAAGTTGAATTTTGTTTCTAAAAGCGTTGGCGGATGTGTAACTATTATATGCAACAGATGTAAAGATTGAAATGTTTCTATTTTGTGTCCTCTTCCCGTTGCAAAGCACGGGTACAACAGCTAGTAAAATTATAATCTTTAAGATGGTTAAGATTTAGTTGGGTTCCAGGACACAAAGGTATTGCTGGCAATGAACGAATGAGCTGACAAATGGGCAAACAAATGAGCTGAAAGCCCGCTTATGGGTCCAGAGCTGACGTGTGGTATTGCTTACAATACATCACGGAGCTGTTCGCCAGTGGATGGGCATAGAACATCGGAGCGGGGAAGAACAGAAGGCAACATACAGCCAAAGAGAATGCTGCAGACACCTACCTGTGCGATAGTGGCAGATGCCCTTGGGCTGAATAGGAAGACCCTGCGGAAGACTGTTGGCTTCATCAGCGGCCATAGGGTATTCCGCGGACATCTAGACAAGATGGGAATTCAAGTTGAAAGCCTCTTACGTAGGAAATGAGGAGAGGAGGAGGAGATAGCCTTCCACGTGATATTTATGTGCCCAGCCCTACAAGGTATATCTAAGGGAGATCACAGCAAAGATCAAGTTACCATAATCAAAAGGATCTCATGGTTCACTAAAGACCTGGGATTTGACGGAGAATGAGCACCTGTGAATGAGGGTGCACAATAAGCTGTTCCAGCTGCGATACAATCCCATGGTCACTTGTGCCTGGCCCACTGTTAAAAAAAGGCCGACATGTTCCTTAGGCACAGCTGTTAAATAATAGCCCATAGAGCCAATGGCATTTAAGGGACCTACAGTTTATAGTGGAATCAGAACCACATTTTTCCTTGCAATTAACGAATTGGTCTAATTATCAGGACAGTACTGCAGATAGTCGTAGTACTCACTAGTGCGGAAGTTAATTCACAACAAGGAGAATCAGATCCACAGTGCTTGCCTATAAATGTCCACATGTAAACTATTCCACCTGTCTTAAAGGGAAATTGCTTTCAAAATAATATGGACATTTACATACAGTTATAAACAAAAAGATCTATCTATCTATCTATATCTAAAATAGGCAAACACGATTTTTATTGTCAGAAATCTTCCGTGGGTTCTCGGCCGATTTTGTTAGTCATTGAGTAGATGTCATTTAAGGTCTGACACGTTGTAAAAGTGTTTCAGGCTCTGTCCCTGTGGCCTTTAAAGTTTCCATGTTATCTTTACGTAGAATACATTTGTTTACCAGCTGCATTATTTAATTCTGTTAACATTTAAGTTGCAATTCAAGGAATCCCGTGCTACAAACTATTGCTACCAACTTCTACTGGATTCGTTGAAATAAAATACTTACATTATTTTTGTGCTTTTAAAACACATTTTTACTAAATAACCTCTTGACCAGCACCATAGTGTTATTAAATTACTTGAAATTACAAAAAATAGACAAATAACTCATGTTATAATACATTTAGCCTACACTTATACTGTTTACTCACAAGACTGTAAATACATGTAAAAGATGGCAAAGTGGGGATCGATTTCGATTGGACAATTCAATCATCACGGAGACCCAATAGACAAACTCAAAAACCAAAGCGTATACGGGATGCCTTTGAGATTCTTGTCACTTGCCTATTGGATCTGATGATTGGATTGTCCAATTGAAATCGATGACCACTTTACTATCTTTTAATTGTATTTACTGTCTTGTGAGTAAACAGTATAAGTGTAAATATATCATTACACTTGTTATTTGTTTTAATGATTTAATGGACTCGGGTAATCGAGAGATTAACAATATTGTTCTAAAATATTTGCATCTTTGCATCTCTGCAACTACATATTATTATAATGGGATCAGGACAAATTGTAAATTTTAATGGAGCTAAATACATAGTTAATTTTATTGGGTTATTTTTGGCAAAGCTCATTTAACGTTTGTTGTGTCATTTCTAAAGACCTAATTTTAAAGTTGTACGTCGTCTCGTCAAATTAGCTCAATACTTGTACAGTATTTAAAATATTACATATTTAAAATATTTTTAAAATTTTTTTAGTTACAAATGTGGTAGGGTCCACTGGGACACTTAAATATTCACTAGCTCAAAGATATTGCTTGTTTTTTAGCAAGATATACACTAGTTTTTACACATGCACGAGTTAATTTCCATTTAGTATGTATCTGTATGGGTTATGGGTACTTTGTATGTCAGCCATTGAATTGCTTTAATTTTTCCACATTTTAGTTGGTACCAAAGTTTAGGTGAAAAATGATTTAACAGGCAAACTTTTTCCAGTATTTATCATTGACAGGTTAAGTGTAAGAAAGGGCCATGTGGCCCTAACTTTTGCCTGTATAAATAAATAATATTTCATATTTCATATTTCATCATATGAAAGGTGTTATAAAGTAAAAGAAGTGTTCATATTATTTTATGTCTCAAGAAGTAAAAGTTTTATTTCATTAATAATATAGTATATACGGTAGGCCTAGTGATTGTTAAACCAAAAGCCACAACAAGACGTTACGATTTAAATAGAGGTCAAAGAGGTCAAAGGAGAGACCAACGGAAGAAAGGAGACGATCTCAGTCTGGGAATGAATACCGGTGAGTGCAGTTTAGATGCTATAATACTCTGTCAATTATCCGCTGTTCCGTTCTGTGTTCATTCTCCCCATATAAATCTCGGTTACTTTAATGGCGACGAGGCCAAAGTGTTTTGTACAGACTTGAAAAGTTTTGTTGAAATTTGTGCGTTTAGCGAAGTTTTTAGGGTTTTCAGCTCGGAAATTCAAGGAATTGATTTAATTAAACCAAGAACTTTATATTTTGGAAGATATTTTTGGAAATATCTGGAAGTTTAGGGTTAAACTGAGAGTTAACCTGAGATAGGCCTTGGCTACGACAGGAAAGTATGCAACACCACGTTGTCGCACAACTTCGAAAATTGTAAGTTTTAGCATAATAGCTATTCTGAACTGCAATTTTGGGGAATATTATCGAAAATGTCGAAGCAAATAATTGGTAAAATCCAAGAATTTAATAAAGAAGTGGAAACTTTTGAGAATTACGTTGAAAGGCTAGGGCATTTTTTCAAAGTCAATGAAGTTAAGGATGAGGCTAAAGTATCCCTATTTATCTCTCTCATGGGTCCTGAGTTGTATGCAACACTGAAAAATTTGCTTTTACCTTCCAAACCTAGTGAGAAAACTTATAATGAAATTGTAAAGGCTTTGTCTGAGTACTTTCTACCTAAGAAGAATACAGCCTATGAGAGGTTCGTTTTTAATAAGAGGGTGCAGAAGGAGGGGGAAAATGTAAATGAATTTGCAATTCAACTTAAAAAGCTAGCCTCCTCCTGTGATTATGGCGAGTTCTTAAACTCAGCCTTGAGAGATAGGTTTCTTTGTGGATTGAGGTCCAGTGACATTCAAAGTCGCTTGTTGGCCGAGGGGGATTCTCTCACCTTTGATAAGGCTTTGAGTCTAGCTTTAGTACTAGAAAATGCTTGTAGTAATGTGAGAGCGCTACATCCTGAGAGTTTTTCAGGCATTAATTATGTTAAGAATTCTAAACCTAGGCCTAGCAGTAGTGGGGTTAGGTCTAGTTATAGGGCCTCTCAATGGTCAAGACCTAGTGGTTGTTACCGTTGTGGAATGAACCATGATGAAAAACCTTGTCCGTATAAGGAGTATACCTGCAATAGTTGTGGGGTAAAGGGTCATTTAGCAAAGGTGTGTCGTAAAACTCAGCACAAACACAATTCTAAGGGTAAAGTGAATTATTGCGACCATGATGGTAGTCAAATGAATAACCAAGATGAAGTGCATGAATCTTCGGAAGATTTGGAGCTGTTTACCATAGCCTATTCTGACAGTGATAGATCTAGGCCTATATCGAACAGTCATGAAGTTGAGATGTGCATAAATGGTAAATTTGTACGTATGACGATAGATACAGGTGCTGTAGTGTCCGTGATGCCGGAAAATGCATATGTTAATAATTTTCAGGATAACCTACCAGAACTGAGGAAGAGCCAGGTCAGTCTTAAGACTTATACTGGGCAAAAGATTGATGTTTTGGGTGAGTTTCAGGCTGATGTCACAACGGAGGGGAGAAGCCATTCACTGCCGATGGTAGTTATAAAAGGATCTAGTACGCAACCCATACTGATGGGACGGAATTGGTTAGAGAAAATCAGGCTCGACTGGGAAAAGATTGCTCAGAGCCGGGAAAATCAAGAAGTATGTTCAGTCAACGGAATTGAAGGTAGGAACTTTCCAATTACTACAATAGGACTTAAGGACTTGAAGACTAAGTTTGCCGATGTTTTTCAAGCTGGTATTGGGACAGTTAAAGACATTAAAGTTGACTTAACTCTTAAGGAAAATTCTCAACCTATCTTTTGCAAGGCACGCAATGTACCATTTGCTCTTAAAGAAAAACTCGATAAAGAACTAGATAGGCTAGTTGAAAATGAAGTTATATACCCTGTGACTAAAACAAATTGGGCATCTCCCATAGTAATAGTACCTAAGAGTGACAGTACAGTTCGAGTATGTGGGGATTTCAAAACAACAATCAATCCTTGTCTGAGAACTGACCATTATCCGCTACCCTTGCCGGAAGAGATTTTTTCTAATATATCTGGAGCTAAAATGTTTTGTAAAATAGACTTGACAGCAGCGTACAACCAACTATGTGTAAATGAAACAGCACAGGAACTGTTAACTATCAACACTACAAGGGGACTTTTTCGCTACCGGAAACTGCCGTTCGGTATCACAAGCGCAGGTGCGATTTTTCAGTCCGTCATGGATAAACTTTTGCATGGTCTTAAAAATGTGTACTGTTATTTAGATGACATTTTGTTAATTGGTCAAACGTATAGTGGTTTATACAAGTGTGTAGAGGCAGTGTTGTCTAGATTTCAGCAGTATGGAGTGAGGATCAATGCTGAAAAAAGTGAGTTTTTTACAGAAAGCATAACTTTCCTAGGCCACAAGTTGAGCCCAGACAAAATAGAACCTAGTGATGAACTGACCGAGGCTATCAAAAAGGCGCCTCGACCGACCAATTTGACACAGCTGCGCTCGTATTTAGGCCTAATCAATTATTATGGCAGATTTTTACCTAACCTCTCAACTCTGCTTCACCCTTTGTACAATCTACTGAACAAAGATGTAAAGTGGGACTGGACCAACCTATGTGAAAATTCGTTTGTACAAAGTAAGGAAATGTTACTTACTAATCGAGTGTTGATGCCCTTCAACCCCGATCTTGAAATCATAGTTACAGCAGATGCTAGCCCCTATGGAATTGGTGGATTGTTGTCTCATCGATTGGCCGATGGATCAGAGCGCCCTGTTGCATTCACATCGAGAACTTTAACGGTACATGAAGTCAAGTATTCCCAAATTGAAAAAGAAGCGTTGGCTTTAGTCTTCGTGGTAAAAAAATTCCACACATTCTTATATGGCAAACACTTTCTGTTAGCAACTGATCATCGTCCATTGACATTTTTATTAGGACCTAACAAATGTATTCCAACTTTGGCAGCTGCTAGAGTACAGCGATGGGCGCTGATTTTGTCAGCTTATAGTTACGACCTAACTTATCGCAAAGGTTCGGACATGTGTCATGCCGATGCACTTAGTCGACTTCCATGTGAACATGTTAAGCCTGGCCCTGAACACTGCGTAGCGTTCTTTTCAAGTGATGATGAGTTGCCTGTAACTCATAAAGAGATTAGCCTAGCTACAGTTAATGACCCAATTTTGTCAAAAATCCTTGATTTTGCACTTCATGGTTGGCCTAGTCATATGGATGATACACTTAGACCCTATTTCCTTAGAAGGGCAGAAATTTCAGTTGAACGGAATTGTGTTTTGTGGGGGAGGAGAGTAATTATTCCAAGTCCATTCCGCAAAGAAATTTTGAACTTGCTACATCAGGAACATCCTGGGGAATCTAGAATGAAGAGCTTAGCTCGTAGTTATGTTTGGTGGCCCAAGTTAGACCAAAACATAGAAGAAACTGTCAAGGAATGTAAGATCTGTCAATCTACCCGTAACACAACTCCACTAGTCCCTTTACAGCATTGGGCGTGGCCTAAGCATTGTTGGCAACGTATTCATATAGACTTCGCCTCATTCAAAGGACATGAGTTTCTTATAGTAGTAGACAGCTACTCAAAATGGTTAGAAGTTTTTCATATGCAGACCACGACTTCAGCTAAAACCATTGAAAAACTTCGATCATGTTTTGCCACGCTAGGCTTACCTAGCACCTTGGTAAGCGATGGAGGTCCACAGCTTACTTCCAGGGAATTTAATGATTTTCTTAAAAGTAATGGGATCCTACATGTAGTCACACCCCCATACCACCCTGCATCAAATGGTTTGGCGGAGAGGGCAGTGCAAACTACTAAAGGTGCATTTTTGAGACAGTTGCTACAGGACGAAAATCAACAATCAAAGCGCACTTTGCAACATCGTATTGATAGCTTCCTATTTGCTTACCGCAATACCCCTCATACGGCAACTGGGTTGACTCCAGCAGAACTTATCTTTAATTTCAAGCCCAGAACTCGGCTTAGTCTTTTGAAGCCACACTTGGCAACGGATTGTGAGGCGAAACAAGTGAAGATTGAAACTGCTGCCAATAAACATAGAGGATCTGAGAGATCATTTCAAGTAGGCCAAAAGGTGTTTGTTAAAAGTGTACGGCAAGAAGAACTAAACTGGCTACCTGGAGTAGTGACCAAAATTATCAGTAATGTGACTTATCTGGTAAAAACGGAAGGTCGTAGTAGGTTTGTCCATGCGGATCACCTGCGGGCAAATTACTGTAACTCAGAAGAGGATATTGTTGTCTTACCTGCTAATGAGTATGAAAAAGCGACACTGAGAAACACCCCAGAAAAATTGATCAGTACCCCTCAAGAGGAGTTAAGAAGAAGTAAGAATAATTCTCCCATCAAGGACACCACTCCAGTGGTAACACAAGAAACACCACAAAGTTCACCCATCAAGACTCAGGAGTTAGGCCTACCGAATAGTCCAAAAGTTTTACCGGTCCGTCGTTCGCAAAGAGAGCGGCGAGAGCCAAAAAAACTAGATTTATAATTTGAAGATTTGATACCCTCCCAGGAAGATTTTTTATTTTAGTTTGTTATTTAAGTTGGGAGGGAATGTTATAAAGTAAAAGAAGTGTTCATATTATTTTATGTCTCAAGAAGTAAAAGTTTTATTTCATTAATAATATAGTATATACGGTAGGCCTAGTGATTGTTAAACCAAAAGCCACAACAAGACGTTACGATTTAAATAGAGGTCAAAGAGGTCAAAGGAGAGACCAACGGAAGAAAGGAGACGATCTCAGTCTGGGAATGAATACCGGTGAGTGCAGTTTAGATGCTATAATACTCTGTCAATTATCCGCTGTTCCGTTCTGTGTTCATTCTCCCCATATAAATCTCGGTTACTTTAAAAGGAGTAATGTAAACCCTTACTCTGGTGTAGTTGTAAACATTTGTTTGCAACGAAAGTTATTTTCTATTCGTGGAAATTTGGTAGGAATCAGGGATGATATAGTAAATCGTTAAATGCTAGTATACATATTTATTGTAACAACAAGTTAGTGAGTTAGTGCATAGATTACTACAGGAAATATTTACTTAAAATTGGCTAATGATGTGAAGGATTTGCAAGCTTCCTATTTGTGATAATGTAACAGTAATGTGACACCCTGAATAACAATAATATCGGTGTTCTTAAGTCTTCACCACGCTGTCTGTCTTGCTTTTATGTTCTCCGATTATAGAGAACCCTGCTCCTCCTTTTAGTTCAATATTTTTTCCTTTTTTAACGTGATTTTTGTCTTCAATACTTTCTTTTACCTGTTTATTAATCTCAGCATTACCCCCAAATCCCATTCCTACTTTACCTTTAATTTCTTTACTTTTCTCTGTCAAACTTCCATTCTCGTTGACCTGAGCAGTCCTTTTTCCGGCTAACCCTGCACCAGCTCCTACATTAATTCCAGCTTCCTTTTCTACTTTGACCTCGGCCTCTATTTTACCCCCTTTCTCTATAGTAGTCTGCTTTTCGGAAATCCCTTTCAAATGTCCTCCAGCCTCTTCAGCAGTTTTACCATCATTTTCCTTTTTTGTACTACCCTTGGCTTCAGTAGCCTTCTTTCCAGTTTTTGCAGCAATTGCTCCGGAAATCCCTACAGCAGCCTTACCATCAACCTCAACTTCCTTATGGGTAGACCTACCGCTTTTGTCAGCGTTCAATTTTGAAGCTGCTTCTAATCCTGAAGCAGCTGTTCCAGCAATCTTACCTTCCTTTTGTTCTTTACCTTTGGCTTCTATATTATCTTTTTTTTCTTCAGTAGTGTGTTTTTCAACCACCCCTCCAACAATTCCTCCAGTAGCAAAAACACTTCCCTTTTCCTCATGTTTACCATTCTTGGATTTAGTAGTCTTCCCACCTACTGCTGCAGTGATTACTCCGGCTCCTCCAGCAAATCCCTTTTTTTCATTGGTACCGCTATCGCCAGAGTTCGATTGTGAAACTGTTTTAAGTCCTCCAACAGCCCCTGCTTCAAATTTCACCTTTGTATCATGTGACCCACTTTGGCCAGCGGCTCCAAACCCTAATGCAGCACCTGCGTTGTGAGTGACTTTTTTTGATTCTTGATAGTCATGTGTGTCGCGTCTTCTTCTAGCCAAGAACAGCTCGTCCTCCTCCTCTAAGTTGGAGGTACCACCGTTCGTTCCGACAGTGCCAGTACCAGTAGTTCCTGTCCCAGTAGTGCCTGTCCCTCCTGTCCCCGCGCCATTTGCACCAGGTAAAACAATAAAGATAGGTTGCTGTCTTCCTCCTGATCCTCCCCCGTGCCTTTGGCCACCGCAAGCTCTGGAGAATGCAGCAGAGGCTAGCAGTGAGATGCCAACACAGACCTAAAACAAAACCAACAGTGTCAGATAAAAATTCCCAGTCATTAAATAAATTTGTACTTTTGTAAACAGAGTTTTGTATACAACAAGTTCTCATTGCCAGTTTATCTGGTAATGTGAACCTAAAACTGAAGATTGGCCTTTAAATAAAGTCTTAAACCAGTATAACAAAGTTATAAACCATAGACGCTGATAATGTAGCTGGTATAATCAGTGTGGTTTGTAATCCAGAAACATTCTTGCGCTCTGAAAAATCGAACAACCATGCCTATTGATGAAAAATTATCTTTATAACATCCACAATTGTAATATGGCACGATTTTTGAACTGTATACAATTTGTTTAGAAACTTGGTGTTTATTTCTCCACGGTATTAGATTCTTGCAAAATGACATTTATGTACGAATTTATTCCCTATTTAAATAACATTAAGTCTAACGAATTCTTAGCATTGCTCCTAAAATTAACGCAATTTGTGTTTTCCATGAGTCAACTATTAATAGTATTTGTAAGAAAAAAGTAAATTTTATTAAAATACATCCAGACTAAATACACCAGTTCCTCATTTTCCGTAAGAATGCACGGCAATATACAATACTCAGTTTTATTTCATTTATCTGTGCATGGTATGGTATAGAGAAATTATTGTTTTTTTCGAAAGTTTCGACGTTACGTTTTTGGTGGAAAAATCCATTTTGGATTTCCTGAACAAAAAATGTGGTTTTCAAAATTATGTATCTGTGTGTACCGATGTGCGTTTGTGTCTGTAGTAGTAGTATATTCTTTATTCAAGAGTACAACATATTTCCTTTGACTATTAAGTCAATGATATTGCACAGGAGTGGCATTATACAATTAAATGAAATCGTTAAAAACGAAATATATAAAAAAACTAAAAAAATATATATAAACTGTTAACATACAACCTACAAACGGGGGGAGTGAGCTAGTCAAGTGGTTATAGTGGGGACTTTGGTCCCTGAGTTCCTGGTTCAAATCCCGCCAAATCACCAATGGATTTTATCTAAGATATAATACTGCAACCCCTAGGTATAGCCTGAAGTAATGTGAAAAACAATTCCGAGCTCGTGCCTAGCGTCTAGGACAAAAACACCTACACATTTACTCAACCTACAACTTCAAATAGACGGGCTTGGATAACATAGAATTTTATAGTAGTTCTGTTGGAATAGTATTAGGTTTAAAGTTATACAACTTAATCCGGCATACAAAGGTATTTTCAAAAAATTTTAAGTTATGATTTCAAAAACTGATTTTTGTCCGTGCCTTGTCCCATAGCAGTAGCATGAAGCCAAAATCTCGAATATTGGAAAACTATTCTTTACAAACAAGATTACATCAAAAATATATTTGGCAAAAACAATAAGAATAAAAATTTTTCGAAATGTAAGTGAATCGAATGGTATTTTTGGCTTTTTGTGATATATAAAAAAAAAAAATTAATTCGGTCTTGGGCTTAGTTTTTACTATAAGACCTACGGTAATAGCTTATCATATTGCGAAATACAAACGATTCGCTGAAACGGAATATTTTTTGTCTTTGAATACATTCAAAAGCATTATGAACTCTCGGTATATAAATTATTCCCCATACTAATAATTCTGTGATTAGCAGGGATCTATGAAACTCAGTGTGTAGAATAAGAATTAAAATGATTAAGCATTAGAAACAACATAGGTAGAAGTGTTAAGACTATTGTACAATTTGTTTGACAGATTTAGATTTGTTAGATTTAAAGGCAAAATGATAAGAAATTTGAATGGTTTTAAAAATTTGATACCATTTGCTACTGCACTAAGAGTGTGCTGCAAAGCGTTATATCATTGACTATATAACCACGTTTATATAGTCAATGGTTATATCAAAGCAAAAGGATTATCAGCGGGTTAAAATAATCAAAATGATTTTAGTCAAATTATATTTTTCTGAGTGAGAAAATATCAGTGTAGGCTACATATTGCCTGTTACATTTAATATAACGCTTAAGCCTCCTTAAGACCTAGACGTATGCATGACATTACCGACTACTTCAACTACTGTTTTAACGGTTACGATTCTAAATGGTATTATGGGTTTCTTAATATTACAAAAACAAAAATGTAAAATGTTTTTGACCAAATGTGTGTCAGCGATAAATTTCAACAGGTTGATATATAAGAAAACCTACTTTTTTAGAAAATGAACAGTAACAAACGTTTAGACAAAATACTACTCTAAACCCTTCAAATGCATTACTTTACAACTACAAAAGTTTATCAACATTATTTTTTAAGCTAGTATTACATCATTTTTCCTATAGTAATATTACTTACCAGCAGTGTTCTGTTCATTGTTGTAGTGTGCCTATCTAGTGTGTTCCAAACCTTATATACTAACAGATATCAGATAACAAAGCCAATCTTGTAAACTGAGTCCTGCAATTTTCGTTTAAGCTGCCATTAAATTAATCAAGCGAAGATTTCGGTAGTAATTGCACAAGCGCGTGGGCTATAAACATTTTCGTTTCTAATTGTAAACCTTTGTAACTTATAGGTTAGGTTAGAGCAAGACACTTTCCTTCCATGGTCACGTGTTCAATCCCCACCAATCACAATATAGCAATAGTAATGTGGAAACTACACAAGTACAAGTTTGGTCAAGATGCTTTCTTTACCTGAGGAATGAGGAAAGGGTTGGTTCTAGGTAACGTTGGTATGGATATTCGTTTATGCAGTAGGAATGTAAACGAAAGTCAGAACTAGTAAAATGTATACAAAAATATTGATTGTACTCCCCTAAATGAAATTGACATATGCTATATTTACTAGTAGATAATGCCTTAAACGATCTTTGTATATTTATGTGAAATACAGGGTGATTCAAAAAGGACTTTACAACTTTGAAAATTCATATAAATCTTATTAAACACGGTTCAGAGCTGGTTTTGGTGTTGTTTTAAAGGAAAACACTTCAAGTTTTTTTACCTTAAACTAAAGATGTTCTATGTGACTTCCGTTGGATTTGGGGAAAATATTTATTTAGGTATGAAAAAATAGTGAAAACCGTTAAAAACTTGGGAGAAATTTACAAAATTTTGAAAGTAGGGCGTTTTTGACGGCGAAGGAGTGCAATTTTCGAAAAACGCATGATTAGTGTCTTGT